GTAACAAATCACTACAATGTAAGATTGCAATGCAATCCACATTGTAGCCAATGGATGTAATGTGATTGCAGTCCAAAACCAATGCAATCACATTACATTGCACTCTGCAATGTTCTTAAAGATAATTTTACCCTTCAACTTTATTATCTTATTAAAAATATTTTATAATATTATAATTAAAATAAATATATAATATAAGAATAAAAATTAAAATAAAATAAAATATAAAAAATTAATATTTATATAATATAGATAAAACAAATTAAAATAAAATATATAATATAAAAAATATATTAAAGAAATGAAAAAATATATATAAAATTATAATAATAAATAAAAATAAAATATATGACATTAAAAATATATTTAAAATATGATATTATATAAAAATTAATAATATAAATATAAATATATTAAAAATAAAATATAAAATATTATAATAATAAATAAAAATAAAATATATGATATTAAAAATATATTTAAGAAATGATATTATATAAAAATTAATAAAAAATATAAATAGATTAAAAATAAAATATAAAATATTATAAAAATAAATAAAAATAAAATATATGATATTAAAAATATATTTAAAAATGATATTATATAAAAATTAATAATAAAAATATAAATATATTAAACTTATATTTTAATAATTAGGGGTAATTTTGACAATTAGCATTACATTCTCACTAAAGTACTTGTAAACCAAACACTGCAATGTTATCTTCCCTGCATTTTAATCATTATTTTACTTACATACCAAACACTGTAATGTTATTTTCCCTGTAATCACATTGCTTGCAATCACATTACTTGCAATCACATTACCTGTAATCACATTGCATTGTAATGTACCAAACGATACTTAAGTGTTTCCAAGAAATAATGTTCTCAAGTGTGTAAAGCATAAAGATATTTTAAGTGCGTAATACCCATGACATTCCCAAGTGCATAATGCATAAGGGCGTTTCAAGTGCATAACACTCAAGGATGTTCCTAAGTGCGTAACACATAGTGGCATTCCAAGTGTGTAACACTCAGGGACATTCCCAAGTGCATAACTTATAAAGACATTCTAAATGCATAACGCATAGGAATGTTTCAAGTGCATAATGCAAAAGGATGTTCTAAGTGCATAACGCTCAGAGATATTTCAAGTGCGCAACGTCCAAGGATATTCCAAGTGCGTAATGCACAGGAACGTTTTCAAGTGCGTAACGTGTTCCCTAGTACATAATGTATAGGGATGTTGCAAGTGCGTAATGCCTAGGAATGTTTTGAAGTGCGTAACGCCTCAAGACAATCCTAGGTGCAACGCTCCAAGTGGACGTTCCTAAAAGCAAGCAAATTTTGTAATAATAATAATAATAATAGAAATTGCATTGCACATTTCTAAACTTTTTAAAAGTGTGTGCAAGATTTGAAGCCTAGTTCAAATGTGGGAAAGGTTCTAATTAAAGAAGATATTGCTTTGAAGGGAATAGGTGCAAAAAAGAAAAAAACATGTTCTAGTACTGCTTCATTGGCTACTCTTTCTTTTGGAGAAGAAAAACATGTAGAGTGTTGCCTTACATTACTTATTTTATGTGCATATTCAAATTGTATCTTTTTATTTTATGTATAAAAATTACTTATAAAAAACTTTTACGTAGGGAAAAAAATGTTCATGCCCAATTTTCACTAACCATTATTTCTTTTAAGTATTGTCTTATAGTATGAGAATAGCATGAAACAACCATATCACACGAGAAAATGAACATAACTCAGAACAAGTGACAGAGTTCACTGAGTTATCTTTACATTTGAGATGTTTTGGAGAGTTAAATATAACAGTAGTTAAGAGGACTTCTCTTAACCTTAATTTTCTTAAAGTATACGTACTTTACCCTTTTCTTATTTCTTGAGAGTACACGTAGCACATTATCAAGTGTTAGTATTTCACTATCCAAAACTTATGCCCACTACCCAACTACTTGCTGAATCTCTTTACATTCAACAAGCGTTCCTTAACGTACTCTTCCATAACAAGCTCCCATGATTATGCTTAACATCTAATAAGTTATTCCTTAACATGCTCTTCCATTACAAGCACCCATAATTGAACTTAACATCCAATAACTATTTTTTAACGTATTCTTTTATGATTAGCACGTTCTCCCATGATTGAATGTGTTTTCTTACAAGTGCTTCCTTCTTCCAACTGTTCCTAAAAAAATGCTCATTTTTAGTATAAACAAGGGAGTTTGAAAAGTTGGGAGGCAAGAAGAAAATAATTAGAAACTTAGCAAAGATTACTCTCAAAAACTCCCTTAAAGCTCTCTCAAATATTCTCTCTACTCAGCCCCTTTCCATCTATCGTGCACCGTTGTTTTCTCCACCTTTTCTTATTCCTCATTGCTTGCCAATAAAGTATTTATATTTTAAGTACTATTCTAATCTTCTTCTCTACCGTCTTTAATGTATTCTGTTTTACTTATTACAATATTTTCTCTTTCTTTACCAAAAGAAACCTCTACAACAAGAAGTTCTTGTATGGTTAACTCCCTGTAGAAGGGCAATGGCTTGACTCATTTCAAACGTTATCATTAAGGTCATGCCATTGTGGGCACTACTGTAAGGCTTAGCTGAAGCGGTGATATTTCAAAACCGTTTATGAGGCTGATCTCTAACAGTAAGATCTTGATATTGTACACTATTATGTAAAAGATCGAGTTGCCACCTAGATTATTGATGTGTTTAAAAACTCAAAAGTGCAAGTAGACCTATAGCAAAAGATATAATTACTTCCATCCTACCAACCGAGATGGCTCTTGTGGTTAGGTACGAAGATGGGAAAGTGTTAGGCACTCATTCTATCAATTAATATTACAGATATGATGCATAAACTAACCAAAGATTGTATTATTAATTGGAATTATATGGGTTGAGCCAAGTAGATCCAAACCCATTAACACATCACATATGTATATCTAAAACCTTGCAGGACAATGTGTGCTATATAAATAAATACTATAAATGTAAAAATTAACTCACGCGAGAATCTTAATTACTTCAGTAAAAATTCTCTTTTGCTGAACTTTTTTTCTCTTTACTGAACTTTCTCTAGTATGATCCTTGGATGTCTCCGAAGAACCTTAAGACTTGGAGGTTGGAAGTTTGTCAACAACTACAGTTGCTGCTTCGTACACAAGATCATGAAGCAATTCAACGCTGACCCGGGTCATACAATTCTCATAATATTAACATAATTTATGATTTTATTTTAATATATTTAAAATTTTTTATTGATCTAATATTGATCCAAAAAATCCAACAATTGAATTATTAATTCGATGACTTGAAGGTTTGAAATGGTCATTATCCGATTCTTATCTGTGTTCTAAACCAATTGATTTGCCTTCAAATATAATTAAATCGACTTTGAAAGCCTTAATTAGCTGGCCGAATCCCACATCTTTTGTACCGGAAAAAGGAAAAGGAAAATAAATGGAAGAAAGCAATTCAACAGGTTCTCACCAGAAAATTAAGAAGAAAATAACGATGAAGACAATTCGATTGGTGGATTAGGTGTGAATGATAAAACTGATCATTAACTTGATTTCCCACATTGTAAGTCATTAAAAGGAGCCTTTCTTTCTCACCACAACGAACTGACAAACAAATGTAAAATTGGTGGGACTTCAATTTTCATTTGGCAATGATAGGGAACTAGATGTTAATTCATAGAGGGTTGTGAGGCCCCCTCTACGACCGGCCTTGAGGTGGCCTGTCTTTAACATCCGTATGTTACGGTCATTTGTTCCTTGTGGGGCATCCAGATTATTTTCCACCGAAGATTTTCAAAGGCATATACTTAGACAATTGCTGAGTCCAAAAGTTTACTAGATTTTGCCATCCAAATCATTCAGCAAACCGTTTACTGATACATTTTCTTTTATTAGATCTAAATCCCGATTAATATCCCAGTTTTATAATAGGTTCAATCTTATGTTCGCAAATTTACATCTCATATAAATCTATAGAATGAGAAAAACTTTTAACAAATTGGCATGTGCCGCATACTTTGTTTAAAAAAGTTCGACACAGGGTTTATTCGTATATTAAATATTGGCCTTCATAAATATATCTAACGGTCGTCAATAGAACAAGAAGAAAATTTTTTGCACATTTAATGAATGGGTAAGGAAGAGCTCATAATTACTTTTACTTATTATGTTTTGCTAATATATATAAAGCAAAAGACACTAAACAAAGGAATTATAAAACTTTGAGCACATGCTTGTTGATGAGTCTTTTTTAATGTGGTTATGGTGTGCAAGTGACGGTTTTTGACGTAAGATTAACTTAAAAATAAATGTGAAAAGAAGAAGGAAAATGTCATAGGTAGAAGGGAGAGACTATGAAATGGACCTCTCAAAGCATAAAACAAACTAACTTGGATGCCACCATTATTGACTCGCTTGGCTTGTTGTAAGAGAAAACAGCCAGTGGCGCCCCACACATACACGCAGTGCCAACCAAAAGAAAATTGGTCCCTCTAAACAAACAATTTTCGAAACTTGAGAAAAAAAGGAAAAGCCTCCAGCACTGGACCAAGCCCTTATAGTGCGATGAGATCATTTCCACCACCAGCTGGTCTTTCAGAACCAGGTCCCACACGCATTAACAGCGAAATTTAGAATGACAAAATTAGTACACACAAGGGAAACATGAACCTTCCAGCCCTTTTCCTACCCCTTTGTCATCTAATTTTGCCTAACGCGTCACTTTTTTCAAACAACCCAAAAGATAAAGACTAACCACAACTTCCCTTGGCAATATTATTTTTTCCCTTTCTAGCTAGTAACGATTGACCTTTTACAGTCTCCTTATAAATATCCCAAGATCTCTCGCACAATCTCTTTTAACAAACCACAACTGTTTTCCTTTGGCAAGAAACCTCTTTATCTTTTTCAACAAAACGCTCTCTCTCGTTGTTCTAAGTCTTTCTTTCCATCATGGGAAATTACATTTCGTGCACTTTGGCCACCCCTTTAATCAAGAGCGGGAAAGCTGCAAGGGTGATCCTTCCTGGAGGTGAAATCAGGCAATTCCGGGAGTCTATGAAGGCTGCAGAGCTTATGTTGGAGTGTCCAAACTTTTTCTTGACGAATTCCCAATCTCTTCACATAGGGAGGAGATTTTCAGCTCTGAGTGCTGATGAGGAATTAGAGTTCGGCAACGTGTACATCATGTTCCCAATGAAGAGAGTCAACTCTATGGTAACTGCAGCTGATATGGCTATGCTTTTCATGGCAGCAAACTCTGCAGCCAAAAGAATATCTGGAGGAAAAGTGAGGATATTGCCGGAGTCTGGCAACGTTGACGGGCAAGAAAGTTCAACAGAATGCGAAGATGGAGGCTCGAGGTTGAGTTTGGAAGGGGTTGATGAGGGGTTCCCGGTTGCAGAATTTAAGCACAGGTTATCTGTCTGTAGGTCAAGAAAACCTTCCTTGGAGACTATCAAAGAAGAGCCAGTTCGCTCAAGGTGAACTTGATCATTTGCTTGTTGTTGGGATAGGTAATTGGGAGATAACTCTTGTTCTTATTTCTTTCTATTTGCTCTCATATTATTCAGCAGATAGAACTATACTTATGGGTGAAACCGATGAAATACAACTGTTTTTTCTTTTCTTTCTTTTTTTTTTTTTGTTGTTGTTTGATGGGCATTTGATTGTGAGTAGCTGTAATATCACTAACATATTTAGATATCAAAGTATAAAAATGTTGAGAAAGTGATTCTTTTGCCTTTTTTTTTCTGTCCATGATACCCTGTTTGAGAAGCTTGCTTATACGGATCAATAATTTCAGTTTCATTATTCCAACCAATAGAATGTGAAGAATTTTCAGTCCTGATGCCAAAACAAAAAAAGAATTAATATTAGTTTTTCAATTGAGAGAAAGAAGAATTTGATTCTCGATGGTTTTAGTAATATTTCGACATTTAATCAATCAATTTGCCAAAAGAGCGAGGCAAAGACTTGTGTGGCAAATTGCATAGAATTGCTTGGGAGTTGTTGAAGTTTCAAACTTTGAATATCTCAGCAGACGTCAAGACTTGAACCGAAGTACCTAACCCGTTGATTAGTTGGTAAAGGCCCCAATATTGGCTTGTTAAGTTTTCCTTTGGGGTTATGGATTTTCAAGTGATGTTCCAGCCGAGGCTTAGACCTATTCCACAGTCTTCCAAATTAAAGACAAAAGCCTTCACATCTTTTATCTTGATAATTTATTTTTAATAGGATTTTATCTTGGTAATTTATTTTTTGAAATTATCAAGGTTATCTGAGGAGGTGATTAATGGGGTTAAGTCTGAAAATAACTTAAAATTAGAGAACTAGAAAAACCCTTTTCCACACCCTCAATTGTTCTATTATGGGACTAGTGTGCCTGTCTATGGCTTGTTTTGCAACAGCTTTCCCTGCGGATTATTAGAGATCGAAAAATGCTAATGAAATATTTAGAGCATGCTTGGTTGGAGGGAATGGAATAATCATTTCACTCATATTCTCATTCCTGATATAAAATTACATTTTGTTTAATACATATGGTTATTTTTCAAAATAGCCATATCAAAAGAAACCTGAATAGTTATTACCAAGATTCCTTTGATGATGATTATTTGGAGTTGTTGGAAATAAAAAGAAAATATTAGATAAAAATATCTTTTTATAATTTAAAAAATACTTTATAAAATAATACTAAATTTATTTTTTCTCTCTCTCTCTTCCTCATTCCTTCCCTCGCTAAAGCAAAGAAGATACAAAATTTTTTATTACATTTTCAAAAAAGAAGAAGAAATGGCAATATTTAAATATTATTTAATTATAATAAATATTATAAAGAATATTATTTAGTATTATTTAAATTTAATGAAGAATATATTTTTTCTTTTAATATTAAATATTATTTAATTATGATAAAAGGTTTAATTATCTTCTGATACAAAATATTTTTAAATTATAATAAAAATATGTTTGTATTTTGATGAAAATATTATTTAATTATAGTAAAAGGTATTTTGATTTTATTACTTCGAATGTTTTTATTTTTTAACAAAATAAATTCTTTAATTTTAGTAGAAGATATTTTTATCATTTACCACTTATTTTTTAATTATTTTTGAAACTATTCCTGTCAATCAATCATTAAAATAAATTATAATAATAATTTCTATCCTATTCCATTCTCATGAATCAAATTATATAATAATTATTCCTCATTTATTCTATTCTTATAGAATAACGATTCTATTCTCTTTTTATTTCATTTTGCAAACCAAATGTATCTTTAAAAAAAAGATCTTGAAGTTTTTTTTAAATAATTGAGAAAAAGAAGTTTAAATGTTATTATTTAAGTAAAAAGATCATATACCAATCAATGAGCCAAATGCTTGAATGTAATAAAAAAAAAATCTTGAAGGTTGTTTGCTTAAATATTTTTAATTTTAAGAAAGTAAAACATTTGTGCAAAATAAGTTTTTTTTTCAAAGAACTTTATATATTTATATTTATTCCCATTTTAAACCAAGATTCATATCAATCCAAGTTAATAAAATTGATCCAAGACTTAAAAGATGTTTAAACCAAACTCAAAGTTTATCAATCTTGATTTGTTAAGAAAAAGTGCAAATCAAACTCAAACTTTAAATGATCGAAATTATGCTAAAATTCACTAAACAATATATATATATATTAATTTTCAAAAAAAATGCATCTATTAAATATTTAAAACGAAGCCCCAAAAGGGCTTCCACACTTGGCCACGTTTGTGGCTTCTTTTATTGGCATGTGGCTAATTTAAAATGGTTGATATAGAAAGAATTTTGAGATGATTTTTTTAGGGCTGGTTGCATTTAGGATTGTTAACAGGGGATTTTTTTTCTTTAGCTTCAAGAGAAGTTTTTCCCTGCATTGAGTGACGGTGTTTTGGTTCACAGGGAATTGAAGCTAACAGTGCTTCCATGTACTAAGAAATATATATTTTTTATAAAATAAATTATAAAAATAAAACTTTTGGGTGGAACTTAGTGGATTTCATCCAAGTTTGATGTGAAACAAATTTTTAATTTTTAATGAGACATGATAGGAACCATAAGGTGGATTAATTCTAAATAATTATAAAGGTATGAGATTAAAAAGTATTAATTAAAATTGAAGATCATTTGGAAAATTTCATCATCAAAACTAAAAAAATTTAATAAGTATAATTAACATTCATTATATTTTGACTTTTAAAAAATATTCATTTTATTTTAATAATTTTATTGTATCAATTATGTAATTTTTTTTATAATTAGGGTATCAATTCAATTAATTAATTTAATTCAATTCAATCAATTCAATTATCAATTATCAATTAATTCAATCAATTCAATTATCAATTAATTCAATCAATTCAATTATCAATTCCATCAATCAATCAATCAATCAATTAATTCAATTCAATTCAATTCAATTATCAATTATCAATTATGTAGCTTATCAATAATTACTTTTAAAATATTATATATTCTCAATAAGAATTTGATTTCACTGTTAGAATCATATCATTAACAAAATATGATTATATCAACATTAATATATACTAAGATATAAAAAATCAAATATTTTCAAAAAAAATTATTTAAATAAAAAACTTTGTTTTATAAAAAATGAGAAAATAGTTTAAAAAAATAATTATCTTTAAATTATCATTATAACTATTATTTATAATATTTTTAATTAAATCATTTTTTAATTATTATTATATTTATTTATAATATTAAGTAATTTTAAATTATTTTTAATAAAAAATTCAACACCCACGCAAAGCTGGGCGCCACTGCAGTACATACAAAATGAAAACCCACAAAATAAACCCAAAAATCTCTTACTTTGTCTCAACAGAAGCCCCAATTAGACTTGGTGAAGGGCCAAACGGGTTAGTTTTCTTTTCATCCAACAACACACTTCGTTTCGGCTCAAGCAGATCTGCTCCATTGTTGGAAACCGCGCGATTTAAGTGCTGCAACTGTTTTTTCTTTGTCTTAACTATCCTCTGAAATGGTAAAGTTTTAGCACCTCACCCCTCCAAACCTAAATATAAAAGCTTCAATTCAAAACCCTAACTTTATTTTACCCTCAGTTTTCACTCAATGCAAGTGGTCTCCCACTCTAGAATGAAACCTTAGCTTCATTTACCCTCAGTTTTCCTCAATATAAATGGCCTCTTACTCTCCTACTCTATAATGAAACCTTATGTCATTACATACGATTTCAAGAATAATCTGTTTCAATTTGAAAGTGTGGGAATTTTTATTAATTTTTTTCGTTAGATGCGATTGGCCACCTGACTAAACCTATTTTAGATTCATCTAAAAAATAGAGATTGATCTACATCATTAAGTTTGAATTCGAGAGTACAGTTACATGACGTCCTTTCAATAAATAGTATCGAATAATCATTTGTTATCTTGTATTGAGTTAAATCTTTAATTCTATTCATATATTTTTCTTTAATCATGATTCTTTTCATTATTTATTTCTGTTTTTTTGACTTTATTTGACTACAAATGATAATATTTTTATTAAAAGTATTTCCCAAATTCTCTCATCCTTTTGGTAAAATTCAAATATACTCTTTCATGCAGAGAATTTTTTTAGAAACTTATTTTTACAAGCTTCCCAAAGAAAACCTCATCATAGAGATTATCATCCAAATCTTGTTTCATCATTTTGAATGTGCATAAAATGAATATGCGATGAATGTATTACATTAGATATACATTAGATAAAATGCAAGTTTCCAATTATTTATTACAATCAACAACCTTTGATCAAAGACATTTTCTAGATCTTTTTATCATTCTAGCAAAATTCAAAATGTCATCTCACCTAAAAATTTTTTATAAAACTTATCCTTACAATATATATATATATATATTGTAAATTCTCAATTATTTATTATAATCGTCAACGTTTTATTGAAAGTGTTTTCTGAATCCTCCCATTTATTTGTTAAAACCCAAGTATACTTTCTCATCAAAGGGTTTCTCTATAAACCTATTTACAAGTTTCACAAGAAAATCCCATCATTGAGATTGACAATTGTAAACAAAATATGTGTTACATGGTATGTTGCAAATTTCAAATTATTTAATACAAGCAAAAAACCTTTCTTGAGAGTACTTCCTAGATCCTCCAATCTTTTTACTAAAATTCAGGTACAATTTCCCACCAAAGAGTTTCTCTAGAAACTTATCTATAAGTTTCTCAAGAAAACAAAATACGTGTCACATGGTATGATGAAAATTTCAAATTATTTAATATAAGCAAAAACCCTTTCTTGAAAGTTCTTCTTAGATCCTTCCATCTTTTTGGTAAAATATGAGAAATATATCCTTTCAAGCCTCTCCAAAAAGTCTAATCATTGAAGTAATCGTTTGATACGTAACAATAGCCATGCATGTAGAAATGAATGAAATGATCATTTGATAAATAAATAATGATGATGCAAAATGCATAGGCTATTTATGGTATGTTTCTCATGTATCTGAACATATAGAAACATATATTATATCGTATGACCAACTATTTTATTTTATATCATTATATACGTATTTTTTGGAAAATAAAAATATTATTGCATTCACACATTAAATGAAAATTACCAATCAAAGTAAAACAAAGAACAAAAATACATACCAAAAAGTCAAAACCAAGTCCAACAGCAAAGCCGAATCAAATTTAAAAAATTAAGGGCCCATCACCTAACTTGGGCTGGGTTTGACCCAAGATTCAAGATATGAGGTTATGTCGAAAGGCTAGCCGACCTTCCGAAGAAGGGAATATGGGTTCGTTGAGGCGTGGCCTGCAAAGATTAGGTTCGTCGAGACATAGGTTCTCGCTGGCCTACTTTGACAAAGCCTGACTTCAACGCATCGTTGGTGCTCAAATGGCAGTCCAAGGGATGCCTTAGATGACATTGATCAAGTGGTAGTCCCTTACTCTCTCTTACATGGTGTTGTTTAGTCTCTGACTTCAGTAATGTCAAGACCCAATCCCAGGTTATGACCTACGCAAAGGCTTAATAAATAATAATTAAATAAAGTTTGAGTGCACTTTACATTTGCATTTTTTTTGAATAACGTTTCACTCCTAGTTGTACCTAAACTACCGCAAGCCGAGTGATGAAGGATGATACTTGTGAGCACGATGCACTTCAAAAGATTGTAATGGTCATGAAATAAAATGTTGACTCACCTTGTTTCTATAGTGCTTGCTTGCATATGCATGCGTGTATGTTTCCTTTTGCCTTAGTTCCTGCAATGGGTCAATGCCTCACACTGACTAGTGCAAATCATTTGGCTTGTTAATTTGCACAAAAGAACCAACTCCATTGCTCAAATAAATAAAAAAATAAAGACCAATTTTACGTTCTAAAATAACATTTCGATTAAAATACAATCAAAGTAATACGATTCAATTCTAACAGTGAAAGATTATAACAATTTGTGCCCATTTTGATATGAATAAGTAAGCTTTGAAACATTCCTACTTTGAAATTCAATAATCAATTTCCACCAAGTTCATACCAATGTAAACATACACTAGATGTTGTCCTTCCCAAAACGAGGACTCACTAGTCTAAATTATCCCTTGTCCAATTGATTTATTTACAGCTATTAATCTCTTCTCTTAGCTTCTTAAAATAAATGTCTTCTTTTATATCTTATTTATTTTATTTGGTGTGATTGATTTTGAGCCTTTCACTCTCGTCTTTCTCTATATGCTTCTCAGATTGTTTTTCATATTATTTTTTTATTATAAAACTTTATAAGAATTTGATAACCTAACTCCATGCCAGTGAGTGCTTAATGGATTGCTATCATCAACAAAAAACCAATCAATTACTAAATTTTATTGTATCCTTGATATTTATTAATTAACCCTTTTGTACACTAAAGATCAAGGCTTGCTGTAAAATGCTATACTAGTTTGTGTAAGATATGGTAATTTAAGAATAATAAAATTGATAAAATTAAAAAAGTTAAATAAATTGAACAAAAAGTAAAAATGGTGATTATTTAAGAAAATTTTCTTTAAAGAGAATTTTTTAAAAACGTTGTAAATGATAATTTTATTCTCAATTTTTCAAAATTAATAACTATGTACAAAATAAAATGAATATGTACAATTAAAATTCTAAATAATTTGCAAATTATATCATGATATTTATTAGCTTGCATCATATGTATTTAATTATGCAAGGAAATGGAACTCAACCAATGATGGAATTGTAATAAAGTTGTAAGTGACAATTTTCTTAAAATTTTTGGGTAAGGAAAATTTTAATATTCTACTAAAAGTGTTTAAATTTTAGAAAAAAAATTCAATATCAAGGGTTTATTTTTAATAAAAATAGAAAAAAAGTAAAAAATCATAAAAAGGGTAAAAAGAAAAAGACTAAAAGAAACAAAATGGAATAAAAGATTTATTCCAAACCTTTGCATATACAAGACACTAAATTAATCTGCGGATGGAGTCTCGTCAATAAATAAATGATTTTCCCGAATATCTCCAAGGTAAGAGGACTTTCCTTAATATTCACTAAAAGTGTCAGGAAGATCTTAACAGAAGGGTTCTGACTTTTAAATAATGAAATAAGAAAATCCTTTCATAAAATATCAAATTAATTTGATAACTCTATTTTTTCAAGAAAGTAAGTGACTTTCTTAAATACGTTTGAATTGAGGGGAATTTTCCTAGATCTCATCAAAAGTGTTGGGAAGTCTTTTTGAAAGATCTCTAATATTTAAATAATGATATAATAAAAAGAAAAAAAAGGAGAAAAATTAATAATAACAATTAATAAAATTAAATCCAATACAAAATTAAGGACCATCTTTTGTTTTTGCAAGGATAAATTAAGAATCATCTTATCAAACTAAAATAAAATAACACATGCTTAATTGGTATAATTCATTGAATGGACATAGTATGGTTGCTATTTCTTTCCTTACGTGTAATTGTACTAACGAATCCAATTCTATTTTGTAAATTGCAACTTATTTTTTCTAATAAACTTAAGTTAAATTTAGAATTCTATTAGAAATGATGAATTTAATTAGGTAATCAACTGCATTTATATAAAAAGGATCGGTGACGACTCAATTTTACATTAGGTGGTTAAGTTCTCAAACCCGTATGTTTTGATGGATTTATTTTATCAATACAAAACGTAATTAATTACTGAATTTTATTATATTCTTAAAATTTATGATCAAAAATCTTTTTACACTCTAATAATAAAGACAAATAAAATTTTTAAAACAATGACAATATTACACATCTTAAAACTATTTCATAATTTTGTTTATTTCCAATTCTGTCTTCTAACAGTAATTTTGACAAATATATTACAGAGGTTGACTTTGGAAATGCATCACCAACTGGTCCTTGGTATTCTTTGTTTTTTTCTTTTTCTTTTGCGAATAGCTTCTCTCTCTCCATTTTTCTTTTTTCTCTTCGTGCCTTCGTCTGCTCTCTTTCACAACTGAAGCATGCAACCACGTTATTTGTATCAACTTAGAAAAAAAGAAAAAAAGAAAGAAAGGCAACGAATTAGACAGGCCAAATTGGCTACGTGTCAACCATTGAACGTACTTGTGGCTTATTTAATTGTAAAGATAGATTTTTGATGGATGAGGATTTTAATAGTTTAAGATTCTTTTGCCATTGACTCGTAGGACGTGCAAGGCCGGTGAAGCTATGCGTACGTGTACCTAAGTCTAACTATGGTGGGAACAATCTTTCGAGCTTTTTTCTGACCGGACGTAATTATTTAGAAAATTGAAACTTAATTGTACATGTCTGAGAGTACTGCTTTCGATAGCTATTGGCAAGTTGATTCAGGCACTTGCTAGTTTGGTGGTTAACTAATTAGCATGGTCGTACTGGCATTTAAAGAGTAAAAGCTTGCTTTTTGATCAATTGTATATAATACCAATTCCATGTTGAATCAAATTTATTTTCTTTTTAGTGAAAAAGGTTCAAGGAGACTTAAGCACTCTTGTTATCCATATATATTGTGTGATGCGATAAATCGTTGACTCTTTGTACGTATATTCTTTGGACACTTTTTTAAACAGAGCCTAGACATCAAAGAAATTTGATAAATAAATCTTAGTAGTTGACTTTTGAAAATGTGTCAGTGGCTCACATACTGTAGATTCATAAAACAAGGATTGTAGCCTAGATTGCCTACCAGAAACACGTCCTTCCAACTTCTTTTCTTTTTCTTCCTTCCTCTTTTTTCTGGATTTTATCACCTTGACGCTGCTGAATTCAATTCCAATGTTGGTTGCATGGAGATGGAGAGGAAAGCCCTTCTTAGTATCAAAGAAGGTCTTATAGATCCCTTTGGTCGACTTTCTTCTTGGATAGGTGAAGATTGCTGCAACTGGGCAGGCGTAGGCTGTAGCAATCAGACAGGTCATGTTGTCATGCTTGACCCCAGAGAAAAGAACGACTGTCCTTCGGATGGAGGGAATTCAGCACCACCTTATCGGTTCTGTCAATTGGGTGGTACGTTAAATGCTTCTTTGCTGAACTTGACACATTTGAATTACTTGGATGTGAGTGATAGCGATTTCTTAGGAATTCCAATCCCTGATTTCCTTGGTTCACTCAAGAATTTGAAATATCTTAACCTGAATTGGGCAAACTTTCTGGAATGTTTCCTCCCCACTCCTTGGGAATCTGTCAAACTTGGTTTATCTTGATCTCAGTATGATGGGGATTTCACCTTCAGAAGAGCTTTGGGTGTCAGATTTAGAATGGCTCTCTAGCCTCTCTTTTCTGCAATACCTCAACTTGGGAGATGTAAACCTCAGGAAGGCAACCAATAATTGGCTGCAAGCCATAAATATGCTTCCTTCACTGTTTGAGTTGTATTTATTTAGCTGTCAACTTTATGACCTCCCTCCGACTCTTCCATTTGTAAATTTCACATCCCTTCAGGCTCTTGACCTCTCTTATAACAAGTTCAGCTCTTCACTGCCACACTGGCTGTTTAATTTCAGTACCCTCGTTGAAGTTCTACTTCGTGATTCTAACCTTGCAGGTCACATTCCAAAGGTTTCACTAGGAAATCTTTGCAATTTACAAGTTTTAGATTTATCATCGAGTTCCATGGACGGTGAAATCGAAGAACTCATAGAGGGTTTGTCAAGATGCAATAATTGTAGCTTAGAGACATTGGATTTAAACACAAATAATCTCGCAGGGAACTTGCCTGATTCCTTGGGGTTCCTTAGGAATTTGAAGTTTCTTGCACTCGGCTCCAATAAACTTACAGGGAAGTTATATGATTCCTTGGGGTCCCTAGGTTATTTAGAACACCTTCAGCTTTGCAACAACGCATTTTGGGGTCGACCTCTGAAGTCAGTGGGGAATTTGTCACGTTTGGAAGTGCTCGACCTGAGATTCAACATGATGAGTGGAACCATCACTGAAAGTAATGGACAACTCCCGCGGTTTTTTCAACTGGGTTTCTATGGGAATTCCTTTGAAGGAGTCATAACCGAGCTTCATTTAAAGAATCTAACAAGATTATTGTGATCTCTCTTTATCATCAACAAACAAATCCTTGGTGTTTAGATTGAGACATGACTGGATTCATCCCTTCCAGCTCAATCAAATTGCAATCAGTGATTGCCAATTAGGCCCTTCGTTCCCTTTGTGGCTCAGAACTCAAAACACGTCTTTTCAAATCACGCTCTCAAATGTTGGCATTTCAGACACCATTCCTGATTGGTTTTGGAGAATATTACCAGAGATTTGGTGGCTGGATCTTTCTCACAACCAGTTGAGAGGGAGGCTTCCTAAGTCGATTGCATTTCCCTCTGATGTAGGGGTGCGGATTAATTTTGGATTCAACCATCTGGAGGGTTCAATACCACTTTGGTCAAATGTGACAGATTTCTCATTGAAGAAAAATTTACTTTCTGGGCCGATTCCCTCAAACATAGGCCATGAAATGTCAGAATTGCAAAACTTAGATCTTTCTGGGAACTTTTTAAATGGGAGCATTCCGCCATCTCTAAACAATTTGACGAATTTGAATTTTATTGATCTATCGAGCAATCAGTTATCTGGAAGAATTCCAAGGCCATGGCAGGGTTTGCAATATTTGATGATTGTAGATCTTTCTAAGAATAATCTATCAGGTGATATCCCCAGCTCTATGTGCTCTATTCCTTCGCTTGGCTGGTTGACATTGAGTCGTAATAATCTTTCTGGGCAGCTCTCTACGCTCTTGCAGGATTGCAAAGTTCTGTTTTCACTTGATCTTGGAGGGAATAAATTCACAGGGTTTATACCCGAGTCAGTTGTGACCAGCCAATCTCCAATGTCCTTTTTAAGCCTACGAGCTAACATGCTAACAGGAAGCATTCCTGAACAACCATGTCACCTCTCCACATCTTGGATGTAGCACAAAACAATTTATCAGGGTCCATTCCTAGTTGTTCGGGCAGCTTGCCACGTCTGAAAACTTTGCGCACCATCTTCAGGCTTGGACCCTCAACCACAGAAACAACATTCGACAACCACATGAAGTTGGTCATTGAGGGACGAGAAATTGTATTTACCAAAATAATTCCACTTATAAACAGCATCGACCTGTCCAGAAACAATTTAGTGGGAGAGACACCAGAGGAGATAACAAATCTATCAACCTTAGGATTCTTGAATTTATCTTGGAACCTACTGACGGAAAGAATTCCAGAAAATCTTGACGGTTTACAACGTCTAGAAGCCCTTTACCTTTCGCATAACCATCTTTCAGGCCCAATTCCTCCAAGCGTATCTTCAGTGATTCTCTTGAACTATTTGAACTTGTCTTACAACAACCTCCTCGGTCAAATTCCATCATCTAACCAACAGCAGACCATTGCCGATTCATCCATTTATGAGGGTAACCCGGGACTTTGTGGGCCTTCATTGTCAATCAACTGCTCAATATCCACTGATGGAGACATATATTCCAACGACAAGGATCGTGACAGAGCGGAAAAACCACACTTCTATCTAAGTGCGGTACTGGGATTTTTTGTGGGATTTTGGCCATTTTTGGCACTTTGGTTATAAAGAAATCTGTCCGACATGCCTACTTCCGGTTCTTGGATAAGAAGATGGATGAGCTCTCCGTGCTGATTGCTGTTAACATGGCTCGTTTGCGAAGGAAGAATGTAATGGAGAGAAATTGAGGTCGATTCATTGAAAGTGCTCTCCTTTCTGACCTTTTTTTCCATTTGGTTTTTGTTTGTTTCCTTCTTATCTCACGACTTGTATCTTCCACATTGTTGTATTTGTGGTGAGGTGATGTCTCCACCCTAGAAGATGGAGTTGGAAGAGTAGAAATCCCAGATGAAGAAAGAAATATTCTTTTTAACTTCTACACTAGTTTAATGGTTTCTGTCATGGTTTTTCACTTATTATAAGTTGTTAATTTCCGAGTATCTTCTATTTCCTATGAGTCAAACGATGTTTGTTACTATTATCTTGATTCTTATTTTTATTCCTTCGATCAATTTTCATGTATTTTTACTTTAAAAAAAATCATGTATTTTGATGCACTTGAATTATATCAAAATTTTCACTTAAATCCTTATTCTTTTATTTGTATCCATTGAGCTCTTGATTTATTATTTTATTTTAAATGAACCGAATTTGAAGTAAAAACAATCAAGTGCAATCAGGCGCCATTTAAAGGAAAAAGGATCCCAGGGCTTTTGTGGTCCTTCATTGTCAACCAGCTGCTCATCTCAAACAATGGAAAGGTGAAGACAGAGCTGAAAAATTACTGTTCTCCGTAAGCATGGGGCTGGGATATTCGCCACAGGATTTTGGGTTGTTTGTGGCAGTTTGGTAATCAAACCGTTCTCATGAGTATTACAAAGTCTTTTAGAATGTAATGGTCATGAATAAAAAGTTGGCTCACCTTGGTTTCATACTTGCATGTGTGTATATGTTTCCTCCGCCTTTGTTCCAGCAATGGATCATTGAATTATGGACTTTGGGAATGCCTCTTCACCTAATCCTTGTTTACACGGAACATGTTCAACAATAATGTTATGAGATATTGTATAGAGATTTTTGTGATAGGAATTAGATGCAATACTATAAATAAATTAAAAAAATGTCTCAGAGACAATAGAAAGAAAGACTGGAATAGTTATTGAAGTATTGACTTTAGAAATGCCTCACCACCTAATCCTTGCTTACGCTGAACATTTTCAACAATAATGTTATGAGATATTATACATAGATTTTTGTGATAGGAAGATGTAGTATTACAAATAAATAAAAAAAATGTACTAGAGGTGGTGGAAAGGAAGACTGAAGTAGTCATTGAAATATTGACTTTGGAAATGCACCTCCACCTAATCCTTGCTTATGTTGGACATTTTCAACAATAATGTTATGAGATATTTTATAGAGATTTTTGTGATAGGAAGATGTAGTATTGCAAATAAATAAAAAAGATGTACTAGAGGTGGTGGAAAGAAAGATTGGAGTAGTCATTGAAGTATTAAGTGTTATGGTAAGTGGTGAAAAGCTTACAAACTATGAAGTTATCTTGAAATATCGAAATTTTGACGTCATTGTTTGTGTACTTTTTTTTAAGTCTATACAATGACCTGACAAGCTTACAAGTTATGTTGTTACCTTGGAACAATGAACCCTTTGTTCCATGTAAGTTATCTTCTTATTTACCATTTAAAGTGTTATCTTTACATCCAATATTTGGTGAATTGCTAAATAATAAATTGATGTTAATGAAATTAGAAGTCCAATTGTGACAATTTTAGCTACTAAAACAAATGTATCAAAATAGTAAATTCCTTCCTTTTTGTATAAAGCTTTTAGTTTTTTTATATAAAGCCTTTAGTTACCAACCTTGATTCCCTGCACTTGTATTTTCTTTTTGAAAATCCATTTACATCCTATAAGTGTAAAATTTAGTGCAAGCTCAACCAAAATTCAAGTGTTATTTTTCATTGAGTTAATTTCATCATTAATTACTTTCTTCTAAAACGTAGGATCTTATGATTGCATTACATTGCCATATGATTCTATATTAAAACACTAAGAAACTTTTTTGTTTATATTTTCACCCATCCCTCTCATAAAAAACATATAAAAATTGGGTCCAAAATCTTTCCAACCTTTTTACTTTTTTTAAAAAATTTTTGGACAAGATTCATCATTGTTTTCAACTTATTTTAATGGAATTCTTTTTGTTTGAATTGATTGTATAGTTATCTAGAAATAGATTTAAATTTATTTTTATCACAAATAGCATCTCTTGATTCAATTAAAAACAGTGCTAATTGAAATTAAACCATTTAGTTCAATTGCCATAAACCTATATGCTTTATTATGGTGTGCATATGCTATGAATATACATTATTTTCCTCTTTCACCTAATTTCTTTCTTTTGGATTTTGAAACTTTAACTATAGTCATGCATGGACCAACATTAATAAAAGTGATGTCATATGACACAACTTATTCAATGAAATGTCAAAAATTTATATTTGTTATATTACTTATGCTAGAGTTTTTATATAATTAATGATACTAATGAACCCACTAATTTTTTTGTAATTTTATAAAAAGTGAGGTCAAAGACTCCAAGTCAAAGTAAATTTATCAAAAAATAATTTATATACTAATATTTAAATACTACATGAAAAGATAAAAAGATTGCCTTCTATAATTTAAGATTTTATTAAAAAAAGTCAAAATCTAAACTACGCTCTCTCTTTTTCCAAACATTCAAGTCTTATTTTTGAGACAACAGTGACTTTTCCTCTTCTCGGTCCTTAGTTACGTTTTTCATTCTCTCAAAACAACTCATCTAGGCTTCAATTATAAGTATTTCAACGAAATTAAGTTTTTAAATACTTTATGTCTAAATATTTTTTGATTAATTTGATAGTTTGGATTCATAATATAATCTAGCTGATTGAAAATAAGATTTCATGTCATATAATATCTTGAAATTATGAATATTTCTTTGTTTGATTAATTTTATAGTATTTCTATTGATGCTATCATGCATTATTTTCAAAATATGAGAAATCATAGCGAACAATTATAGTTATCTTAATTAATATTTTTATACTTTAAAGTATTAAATTAATGTACTAAATTTATATTTTCTTTAATTTAATGTTAAAAATTCTAGTTTATGGATTTTAGCATATTTATATATATATTTTTATTATTATTATTATTATAGTTATGACACCACTTCTAGTTTAAAACTTCTAGTTTATATCTGCCCATAACTATAGTTCTACTCTCCAAAGCTTCAACTAATTAAGATGTGGTTTCTTTTTCTTCCATTGCTCATATGGAGCCATCTTTAGATTTTTTTTAAAAAAAATCAATTTAATATATAACAAGTCGTTAATAAAGTTTTTGGTATCCTAAAAATCTTGTCCAGAACTAGAGTATGATAATATTGCATTTACCATTTCAGTTAATATCCTATAGTTCTTTTTGCCTCACCATTTTGTTGCAATGTGTTTAGTGCTAAAGTTTGATATACTATTCTAATAGATTTAAATAACTTGGATTATAATATTCTCTACCTCTATCTAATTTTTAACACTTGATAAAGGATTCATAATATAAATCAACTTTTGAGTTATAAATCTCAAAATTGTCAAACACTTCATTTTTATAATCCGTATATTAATGTCATTGTACTCAAAGTTTTGCTTGCCTCAACATTAGTTATCAAAAGGGTTACAGAAGCGATAAACCATGAAGATACAATGAAATGTAATTATTAACTATATTTTACATTGAAAAAACAAATCCACTTAGTATTCATCAAGGTATGGTATCAAAATCTTATAAAGTTGTTTTTTTAACAAAACATTATATGAAATAATTTGAAAAGTATTTGATGAAGAAGAGAGATTGATTGCAAATTTTTTTTATATAATTTCAAAAAACCAAAAGAATCCTATTTATGTAACTTTTTGAACATGCATAATTATTTAAATAAATATAATTGTTTGAACAGACATAACTATTTAAAAAACTTTCATTATTTTTTTTTCTTTTAGTGTGAGATTGTATCTCACATTGTTATTGTTGAAAATGTCCAATAGAGCGCACCTAATAAATAATCCGTAAAGAACCTAGTAAATAATTGAAGTCATTCTTTAATTTCAGTGTTCTTAGTCCTATGTTTGAATGATAAAATAACACAAAGGTTGCCATCTTACTTGATAGGCTAAATGCTCAAATTGGAGTTAAACGTTTAGACACTTTTTCAATTAAGGATCAAATGTTTTATTTGTAAAAATCAATGGCCAAACGTTTTCGATTCCTTACAATTAAGGACTAAATTGACCGATAGATGAAGAGTGTATCACACGCAAATTGATGACATGATAGTTGACTTGGTTGAGTTCAAAAAAATTTAGTTGTTACGCGTCATGTTAAAAATTTGTTTGTTACACACTATGTAGAAAAATGTAGTTGTTACACGTCATATTAAAGATTTAGTTGTTATACGCTATGTTAAAAATTTAGTTATTACAAATCATATTAAAAAATATAGTTATTACACACCATGTTAAAAATTTAATTATTACACGTTATGTTGAAAAATACAGTTGTTACACACCATGTTAAAAAAGTCATTACACACCACACTATAATTTAAATCATTTTGATTTGATAGAAAAAACTTGATAGTCTATATCATGCGCATGTCTTACACGCACTAGACACCTCTCACCTTAATTCTTAATTTTAAAAAATCGAAAATATTTGACTTTTGGTTGTTACAATTGAAACGTTTAATCCTAAATTAACAAAAACCCAAAAATTTTGACCTTAAATTGAGCATTTAGTCTACTTGATAAAACTCCATGACATCATTAATTTTAAACTAAAATACGCTCACCTCCTAATTTTTAATCATAATTTTACACAAGTTCATTAGTTCTCAAAATGAACAATCCATCCAAAAGCATAAATAACATTAATAAATAAATATAAAATATAAAAAATACCCTTCTTTCTTCCGAAGGAGCAGAAGCGTGGATCTCGCTCTAGGGGGCGCAGAGCATTGAGGAGGGAGATTCGATTGGAGCCGAATCTAGCATTCTAGTCACCGAAAGAGGTAAGGGATAATTTTTTATTAGATAGGAAAAAATTAAAAATGAAAAATTATAGTTTATATAATGTGATAATTTTTAAAATTAATAAAAGATAAGATTGTCTTTTAAATATTACCATGTTATCAAACTAACGGAAATGTTGACATTAGACTAACAGCTGGATTTATGTACCAAATAAAAAATATTTTTTAGGATAGACTATGTATTTTAAAAATTAATAGACCTATAGGAAATTATATCTAAAAAATAAGAGTTGAAGATATTTTAGCTTTAATTATATTATTAATCAGCGTTATATATTCTCTTGCACAGGACGTGTTTTCGCTGCTAGGTGAGGATGGCTAGCAGAAACGCGCCCTTTGAACTTCTTTTAATTTTCTTCCTTTTTTCTAAATTTTATCATCTTCCTATTCTTGAGGCTGCTGGATCTAATTGCAGTGTAGGTTGCATCGAGACGGAGAGGAAAGCCCTCCTTAAGTTTAAAGAAGGTCTTAAAGATCCCGGTCTTAAAGATCCGTTTGGTCGACTTTCTTCCTGGGTTGGCGAAGACTGCTGCAACTGGGCTGGCGTAGGATGTGACGATCAGACAGCCCAGGTTTTCGTGCTCGACCTTGGAGCAAGTTATAACCGTTCATCCATACAAATAAGCTTGGCATCGCCTTATCTGTACCGTAAGCTTGGTGGTTCGTTGAATCCGTCTTTGCTAAACTTAACATCTTTGGAATACTTGGACCTGAGTTATAATAACTTCCTAGGAATTTCAATTCCAAATTTCATAGGTTCACTCAAAACTTTGAAGTCTCTTAACCTTTGTAGGGCAAACTTTGCCGGAATGGTTCCTCCCCACCTTGGCAATCTATCAAACTTGGTTTATCTGGATCTCGACTCGTTTTCATATCCAAACCGTCTTTGGGTGTCTGATGTAAACTGGCTCTCTGGCCTGTCTTCTATCCAATCCCTAGGTTTAGGGGGTGTAAACCTCAGGAAGGCAACAGCAAATTGGCTACAAGCTGTTAATGTGCTTCCTTCATTGTTGCAGTTAGATATGTCTGGCTGTGAACTTTTTGACCTTCCTCAATCTCTTCTATTTGTAAATTTCTCGTCACTTCAGGCTCTTGACCTCTCATATAATAAATTCAGCTCTTCAATACCTCAGTGGCTCTTTAATCTCACTAACCTCAAGCAACTTAAGCTTGCTGGTTCTAACCTTACAGGTCCCACAACAAATTGGCTACAAGCTGTTAATATGCTTCCTTCATTGTTGCAATTGGATTTGTCTTACTGTCGACTTTTTGACCTTCCTCAATCTTTTCCGTTTGTGAATTCCACGTCACTTCAGGCTCTTGACCTCTCAGATAATAGATTCAGCTCTCCAATACCACAGTGGCTCTTTAATCTCAGTAACCTCAGGCAACTTAAGCTTGCTGGTTCTGACCTTACAGGTCCCATTCCCACATTTTTATCGGGAAATATTTGCAAATTAAGGATTTTAGATATGTCATCTAATTCCATCGAAGGAGAAATTACAGATTGTGTAGAGGCTTTGTCTGGATGTAGTAATAGAAGCTTAGAGACACTAGATTTAAGGTTAAACAAACTCCCAGGGAATGTGCCTGACTCGTTGCAGTTGCTTAGAAATTTGAAATCACTTAGACTCTCCTACAATAAACTCAAAGGGAGGTTGTCTGATTTCTTGGCATCCCTTAGAAATTTGGAAGAGCTTGATCTCTCGCACAACTCTTTATCAGGCCCGCTTCCAAAATCCATAGGGAATTTGTAACGGTTAGAAATACTGGACTTGACTTTCAACATGATGAGTGGCACCATCACTGAAAGTATTGGAAAACTCACAAGGCTTTTGAGACTGGGTCTGTATGGTAATTCAGTTGTGGAAGGAGTCATAACGGAGTTTCATCTGCAGAACCTGACAAATCTATTGGATCTATCCTTATCATCCGTGAACAAAGCTTTGGCTTTCTACTTGAGACATTGCTGGATTCCTCCGTTTAGTCTGTCTAACATTGCAATTAGTGATTGCCAATTGGGACCTGCTTTTCCAGCATGGCTCCGAACTCAGAACAGAATTTTTCAAATAACACTCTCAACTGTTGGCATTTCAGACACCATACCTGATTGGCTCTGGAGATTATCGCCACAGATCATCTGGATGGATCTTTCCCAAAACCAATTAAGAGGCAAGCTTCCCGATTCAATAATGTTTCCCTTCCACGTAGGAGCATGGATAAATTTGGGATTCAATAACCTGGAGGGTTCAATCCCACTTTGGCGTAATGTGACAAATCTCTCTTTGAGAAATAATTTATTTTCGGGAGAAATTCCTTCAAACATAGGCCTTGAAATGTCTGCGTTGGAAAATCTAGATCTTTCTGGGAACCATTTAAATGGTAGCATTCCACCATCAATAAACAATATGAGGAATTTGGGATTTCTTGATCTATCAAGTAACTATTTATCTGGACCGATTCTGAGGCAGTGGCAGGGTTTGCAAGATCTGAGGACAGTAGATCTCTCAAAAAATAATCTATCAGGTAGCGTCCCGAACTCCTTGTGCTCACTTCCTTTACATTGGTTGAAATTGAGCGGTAATAATCTTTCTGGGGAAGTTGCTACATTCTTGGGCAACTGCAAAGTCTTGTTTGCTCTTGATCTTGGAGAGAATGGATTCTCCGGAACCTTACCCAAGTCAATCGTAGCGTACCCGACTTCTGTGTATCTTTTGAACCTGCGAGCCAACAAGTTAACGGGAACTATTCCTGAGCACATATGTAATCTCTCCAATCTCCACATCTTGGACCTGGGACATAATAATTTGTCAGGGTCAATTCCTAATTGTCTGGGCAGTTTGGTGGGTTTGAAATATCTGCGCAGATATTTGGCCGGACTCACACCAACAATACTAGAAACATCATTGTTTCAGCACACCGAGTTGGTCATCAAGGGGAGGATAAGTGAATTTACCAAGATAATTGCACTTGTCAACACCATTGACCTGTCTGGCAACAATTTAGTTGGAGAGATTCCCGAGGAGATTACAAATTTATCAACCTTGGGATCCTTGAATCTATCTTGGAACCAATTAATAGGCAACGTACCAGAAAATATTGGGAAGTTGCGATTGTTGGAAGTCCTTGACCTCTCACATAACCGTTTTTCAGGCCCAATTCCTCCGAGTGTATCTTCAATGACTCTCTTGAACTATTTGAACTTGTCTTACAACAACCTGTCCGGCCAAATTCCATCATCTAACCAACTGCAAACCATGGCTGATCCTTCTATCTACCAGGGTAACCCAAGACTCTGTGGGCCTCCATTGTCAACCAACTGCTCAAAATCCGGTGATGGAGACAGATTTCCCAAAGACGAGGATGTTGAAGATGAAGACGGCTCCGAAAACCTATGTACGTACATAAGTGCAGTACTCGGATTTGTTATCGGATTTTGGGCTGTTTTTGGCACTTTGGTGATAAAGAAGTCTGTCGGGCGTGCCTATTTCCGGTTCTTGGATAATATGAAGGATAAGCTGTTCGTGCTGATTGCAGTGAAAGTGGCACGTTTGCAGAGGAAAATGGAGGTGCAAAGAAATTAAAGACAAAGGTAACCAAGGTAACATTTGCTTCTGCTTTGTGTTGACTCATAGATGGTAGCTTAACATTTGTTACTTCTTCCCTTTATCTTTATCATTTCAAGTTTCTGATTTTGCCTTGCAAGTAGTGAATTGTCCTTGACAGAAAAGGATGGCTTCAGAAAGAAAGTTGTTGAGCGAAGGAGGATAAATGGATTAAGCAGTGTAGAGCTATTCATCCGTAATCTTGGTAGTTAGCTAAGAAAATTGTACTGCCTTATCCAGCTCGTCCTGTATTTAAGGATTTTAATGCTATGTATCATGAGCTTTCTCTCTTGTTTCTAAATAAAAGAAAGATGTTTCCTTTGTTGTAAGGGCTCAATTCATTAATTCAGAGTAGGAATGTAAAACCAATTTAAACAAAAAGGAAAAGCTGCAGGATGAGAATAACAACTATATATCATTTTTAAATCATAACCAATTCATTGATCATTGTAGACTTCATCTGCAGAATAGAAAGGCGATTGTCACATACCAGTACGATTTCAACTTTTCAGCAATAATATAGACAAAAGACAAATGACTCAATAATGCCACAACACCAAGCAAGTGAACATATAGAAATTTACAAATTTCTCATTTTACAGATGCCATATCAGCCACTATAGGAAAATATGAGATACAAGGTGCTTAAACAACACATTAGGACAAAATTCCCAGTTTAAGCATCACTCTACAATTGTGCTGCTGATAAAAGACAAGTTGCAAAAAGTTTTGAGATTGTAGCTTGTTTAACCATGTCAATCTTAAAATGTGTAACTTCTCAAGAGATTTGTACAGCATAGATATTTGGCTTTACCATCAATCCGTTTTGGCTGGGCTTAACCTCTTCTTTCTCTCACCAAAGCTCATGTTGCGCACCAAACTTGGAAGGCAGCACTGCACAGACTGGGCTGATTTTTCTTTCCTTGGGAGGTATCCACTGTATGGAGTTGCCTCACTGCTTTGAACAGAGTTCGGGATAGATGCATATGGACTTCTACTTGTAGATTTTGGACGGAGGCTGAAAGTTGCAGGTTTTTCTTTTAATCGCCCTTCTAAACTTGGATCATCGTTTACAGCATTATCATCATCAAAGCTCTCACGAAATAACTCAATTAGTTGCTTCTTTGTATCAGTTGGAGAAAGTTGCGATATTGCATCCTGTGCACGGTCCGTAGAATGACTTTTATCAGGTAGAGAACTTTCCGTGGAGCTTTTCTGGTGGTTAGGGCTGTTACCGCAAGAAGAGGTAGAATCTGGATGAAAACAAGCTTGTCAAAACCACAGATAGATACTAAGAAACTTAGCAATACATTTTCCCAGTACATATACATCATTTCATGCAATTATAATAGAAAAATGTAAATAATTTTGTCTCGACAAAATTAGGGAAATCTCACCACCATTGACACTGAAGAAATCTTCACAATCAGATTCTAACCATGGCTGGGAATCGAAAAAATTCTCTGTTTTACCTGGATAAAGTTATAGGCACAGTTCAATTACAGATGCTAAACATGAGTGAATTTCCAGTCAAGAAGAAAGGGTAAAGAAACTGCAATATGTCACGACCACATTCAAATTTACACAAACATTGCTTTTCAAAAGAATTCATCCGTAACTGTTATGTAGCAGTTTGCATACAAATAATTTACCATCTTGAATCCTGCAAAGAATTTGCCATGGCATGCCCGAGAATAAGCAGACATTTACATGTTAATCAGAAAGTGCATAATAGTTGCAAAGAGATTCGGTCCAAGCTGCATAGGTTCCGAGTCAAAAGGAGCTTCCAACAATTTGCTAACAAACTTTCCTGATCATTCTATTTTCCCAAGACAATCGAAACTGACAGTAGTCATACAGCGCTATGTTAATATTTTGAGACACCATGGCAAAACTGTCACGGCCAAACCATCTAAGAGCACTCAGGCATCCTGAATACACATATTGTTGTTTCTAGCACCATCTTTGTTGTTACCCTGCTGTTAACAAAGGTCATAACCTATTAGGACATGATCATAATAATAGTTATTTCACCCTCATCACTTCTACTCCAATCTAAAACTGGAAAACTCACACTTTCATTCCAGGAAACAACATCTGCAGTGAGGATATTTGATATTGTTGTGGTCGTAAAAAAAAGGTAATTATATGATATAAAAGAGCCTTTTATGACTGAAATATTGCAGAACATGCTATGGCTGCTGACATTATCAGAGGTGGTGAATAGAGATGGCATCTACTTAGTTCAGATAATCTTGTTGATTCAGAAAGTACTCTGGGGAGAACAAGGGTTCCTATGCAAGAGAAGGGGGGAAAATACTATTTCTTTGGATTCCTTCATAAACAAGAAAATTTGAGCTGAAGACACTTGGAAGAGCATAGGGACAATTGATAAGTGACTGGTAGGTCAGGAATAGTTAATTTGGTTCAAACTCTCAAATTCAAATCAATCCTTTATTTATTGGTTATCAATTAGGTTAGACTTTCAACTCTAAAGAGACAGAAAATAGGAAGACACCATGAAAAAACAATGTCTTCTCTGTTAAACGAATAGACAGCAAAGCATCTAATTTTGCTAATGCGAGTACTCCTAAGGGGTTTTGAGCCTAGTTATGAAGACTTTCTCCATCACTCAAGCAGAATTTAAGTGAGCAAAGAAACGTACAACCTGTAGAAGAAATTTGCTGCAGCAACTATGTTTTAGTTTGCCACAAAAAGGGTCACATTACATTTTTAAATGAGAAGCCAGATTATAAGACTTGTTTTGCCAGGAACACATTAACAGGGTTACTCATTTCCTGGGAGAAAATAGACAATTGAACCATATAATGTCATAAGGGGACAGCCTGTCACGAAATCAACTACTATTTTTACTGGTATCCAGAATCGAACTTGATGGAAATGATCGGGCGAAACCTCACAATTGAAAAAGTACCATGCCCAATCCGAAATTTGATTAATAAATAGATATAAAAAGTTACAAAAAATCAGGCTAGCAAAGGAAGACATTAAAGAACACGAGCAAGAACCAAATAGAATTACAAAAGTTTTATTGAGATAAAATCAACATTCACGAAGATGATAATTCAGTTTATCTTTGACTGGTATTATTCACATAAAGAGCAAAATTATAAGCAACACCAGAAGCCAGAACCAATCTGATATCTTAGATCAAACTGTCCAAAGCTCAAGCATAAGCACCAATGTAAGCCTAAAACTAGAAGAAAGAACGACGATAATTGAGTCAAGCAAACCAGGTTAGAAACATACTCAAGTTTCGAAAACTAGTTTCTGGTTCCATTGATGACGGCTGAGGCCTGGAACCGAGTTCAGCAACTGAGATCTCCCTTCTGACAAAGTTCTCCTTATTGGGTGATTGAATTTGGGCACTAAGATTCATGGCTGCAGGATCTTTGCTCTTGTAAACTGTAACACAATTGCCCATGTCTTTTTGACAGCAACAGTCTCTTCTACTCAATCATCAGACAGCACTTCAACTAGCCTGTTTTCTTCAATGCAAGGAAAGAAAAAAGAAAATTGACTGAGAAAGGAACAGGAACATGGGGTTTTAGCTTTATGCTTGAATTCACTCCACCAAAATGTTGGGAGGAGTTGATTGGTCTTGAAAGCAAAGTAATGGCGCTTGCAGGCGTGGGACCATATTTGATGATCTCCCTTTATTTATTTTGTAGAGTACTGTTACCTATGTTTCATTGATCTCTTTCTTACTGGACTACTAGTATTTTCCTTCAAGGCTGCAGCGGGAAATGAAATAAAAGTCTGCTTTTTGGGTGGCTCCATTATTCCTCTTTTAGATTTGTTAACTTCCTTGCTTTGCCATTGAAGAGTTTCTGAGCAGTGACCCTCCTTTTCCAGCTTTGTATGTTACGTTCAGTATATACCATACACTACACATATAGAAGCCTGAAACTAAAGATCAAATCTGCAGTTCTTTACGCATCTTTGCTTTAAATTTTTTTTTAAAAAAAATTGTAGCATTGAATATTGCTTTTTCCGACAAAAGCATTATAAAGGAAAAACAAAATGCCAAGCTATGTAGCCTCCTAACTACAGTTAATGCACATTCTGACTCAATACTACAAGCTTCCGCTTAACTCAATGATTTGATCCAGCCCAAAGTGTGGAAGTGCCATTAAAAAAGGGGAAGAGAGAGAGAGAGGAAAGCAAGTGTTTACTACTAGTTTGGAACTATTCCAAAGTTGACCTAATCTTTCCTACAATGATGAAGGCCGAGGTCCACCAGATTAGTGTTTGCGACTTTGGGGCAGTGATGAAACCCATGGTTTCCTTACTTGTCTCTTTCGGGTGGTTGCATTACTCCTGGCAATATTAAATAGAGTTATGTTTGGAAAATGGAAAACTAAAACAAAGCTCAGCTTCCAAATTCCAGAATCAAAGTATTCCAGTAAAAAAAAATGAAATTCTTCACCAAAGGTTTTGTTTTATCTGAGTTCCCTTAGATGCAAAGCACTAGCTGAGTGCTACTGCTGGTGAGTGTGGCGATCGAGCACGGCAATAACAAGGAATTAATTTGTATCTTTTATTTGCACTGTTTAGAGAAATTCATCCACTGCCCGCCCTGGATTTATCCGCTCTGTATTTCACCTGTTAACCTTGTATGTATATATATATATTTCTGGTATGCAAAAGTAGTATTAATGTCAGGGAAGGCGACAAATTATCTCTGAACATCTTTTTGATGACTTTACTCTTACATCAACATCAGGTGAAGAAACCCAGCGATGATCACTCGCTTTCTACAACCACAATGCTCTCATTATCATCGGAAGCTATTATCTCTTTCTATTTCCCCCAGCAAAACATTCTGAATTGTCACATTCGATATGTAAAAACATATTGAAATATTATACCAAAACTAGTGCTTGGTAGTTACCGAAGTTAAAGTGAAGCAACAAAATAATCATTTGTCATATATATCGTTGGGATTTTCTGGTGAAGTGAGGGTTGTTATCCTTCTTTTCAAAATCAATATCATCTCTGAGAGACTCTACCTTGGCTTCCTTGGATTTGTGAGTGGATACTAAGCCCGATCGTCTCCTCGCGCCACATGACTGGCCGCATTGCAATTTACGCCAGAGACTCTTCACCATTTTTTGAACTGCGTTTGGATTTGATTAACCTTAAATAGAATTTAAATTATGCTTTCAGAAATTTCATGGACTGTGCTAGAATAATTAATTGTGTTAAAACATTTAATTTTTTAAAACTTGTAAGAAAACAAAGAGTTCGAAGGGTTGAAACTTTAAATATGCCTAAAATTCAGGTTAATTGTGTGGTTAGTAAAAAGTTACTATCTTAAGTTTCATTTTACCTCGAAATTTAACAATCCAACCAATAAGAAATTATAATTGGCTATGGCAAATTAGCAAAAGAAGCATGGTCCTATTGGAAAATGCAGGTGGTCCTAGGCCCGTGAATGTCCTCGTCCACAAAACCAGTGTTGGTGACCACTGGCCCAGCCCTTTGGTCTAGCTTTTCCCTGTACGCTACTTTTAATTCAATTAACAATGAAAAATTATATTATTATAATACACAAAAACTTAGTTCAACCATGTACATACATACATACATACATACATATATATTTATTAATTATATACTATTCCAAAGTACGCCTATTGACACAAACCAAAGAGCATATGCATGACAGAAAGAACAAAACAATTAGCTGACTTGTGATCTTGACACAATCTCATTGTCCCCACTTCCTTTAGGCATGGGTTAAATCAGTCTCCAACCAGGAGGATATTTGGTTTGAATATATATCTTAGAAGTCATGAAAAATCTTCATGTGAAAAATACTAGGAGTATAATCTTTTTTTTTTTTTGAAGTCAAATACTAGGAGCATAATCATCTAAACTGTTGGAACTTGAAAACGAAATGCTACTCTACTTATGACTAATCTTATTCTAGTTACGGATTCTAATTTTCTGAGTATTTGGATATCAAAAGCTGAAAAATTTAAACTCAATTATTTGAATACAAAGAAACATATATCAATCTTTAAATCAAACGCTAATAACAAAAAAAAAGAAATCAAGAAAATTGAAACATTTCCTAAAGATTATAACGTACAGCTGCAGCTAAGGGATTTAATAAGAGAAGAATTTTCACGGAATATTTGTTGTTACGGCACGCTCGTTAGAGCAAAAGCTGAATCAATTATCTTCAAGGCCAGCAACGTCACCAACATCTCATGCAATGAACATCCACCAATGATGAATATCTAATTGACAAAGATAACGACGGATACCCCACCAAGGCACCATTTCAATATAGCATGCAGAAAATCAAAAGCATATTAAATTTATAATGCAAGATATATTCCTATGGTACCTTGGAAAAACCAAATACTAAGGTTTTGCCTTCATTTTGAGGATAACTGCTCTTTATTTTAACGTCCTCATCATCCTGTCTGCTTCACAATTACCATATGGCCATCTCACACACACTGGCATCATGCCTCTCCCAACTCTATATAAGCCAACTTTACCTGACAACTCTCAGACGCTAAGCAGATTCTTAGCTAGGTATGGATAGCCAAGACCTAGAGAGAGATGGGATGAGATCCAGGAGTTTTCGCTATGAAGACTACAATAATAGGAGAGTGTTTTTGCGAAGCTATCCTCTTCACTGGGGTGAAGATGAAGAAAACAATGAAGACACAGTGACAGCAACCAAAGGAAGCATTGGAAAGAAACCTATCAAGAAGATTATCCTGTCTGTATTTCATTGGAGTGGTGAAAAGGTAGTGATCCTGAGGAGATTCAAGCATAAGCTCACTGTTTATGTCACTGCTTGTATTCCTATATCAGCTTTTAACTCGCCTACTGCCCTAATTTCAATTTGATCTTTTCTTTCTCTTTTCTTCTAAATTCCACAGTTTGCATCAAGCACAAAACAGGCATATGCAAGGTACCAACGATGACTGAATAGAAACAAAATGCATAGTGCAATTTCAGATTTCATCAGACCCTCCATAGTCTAATGTCCCTCTAAACCCCCCTCCCCCCCAACTCCGGTCATTCTCTTGAAATTAACTCAGGAATCCTGATTCCTACATACAAAATCTGATTTTATAGAGAAGAAAAATTAATATTCCCCTTTGAGCAATTCAATGAGTTTAAATAAAACAGTTGGGAAGAAGAAAAAATGGAAGACTAGGAGATTTGATATTATAAAATGAATGGAATCAAATTGGCAATTATAGTTGTCCATCCATCATAACCTTTAGGTCCACTACTGGCCGTGCTTCAAGACAAGACAAACTGACAAATAATCAATGAATAATCTGCCAAATAATTCTAGCATACATTTCAAATAAGGGTGTACATAGTTCTTGAAACAGTGTTATCACACTCTTTTCATCATACAAACCCTCTAATCATGTCAAATTTCAACAAGAGACACATTTGCCCACATGGAAAAAATGGAGCCTGCTTCTGAACAATTGGATGGTGCTTGTTGCTCAGAAAAATATTATTGACACACCCATGGTGAAGCATCCTATAGACACCCAAGGACTTAAACGCTCACCTAATTCAAGAAACATACATGTTAGTCCCACAAGTTGTAATGCATTACTAGTTAAAGTATAAGAACAAGCTATTTTGATCTCTCTCTTTTTTTTCCCTTATCTACTTTCCAAAATGATTCCTCTAAATTCCGCATCATTTGTGTGCAAGGATGCCTTGATTTAATCCAAAATACATTCCTAATTTTTCTCCAAGAAACAAACTTGCAAATGAAAAAGGAGTCCAGGAACATACTACGGCAAGAAACACTTGTGAAGCAACTTCACTACTTATAGTCAAGAAAGAAAAATACATCTTTGTTTTTTTGTCAAGAATTATGAGGTACAAATGAAATACATAATTGGCCACATAAATATTTACATTGACATGCCCATTTGCACATATATGTTCACAAAATAATAGGGCATGGTGCAACCCTATTACACAAACAGAACAAGAAAGCACCACTGGCTCAAATATACAACAGATCACATTATGGATTTCCAACAAACAAAATCAGGTATTAGTTATTACAACAATCATAGTTCATTCGCACCAAACGAGGCAGTAAACTAGGAGTCAATGACATATCAGTTAGTACATACAACTAACATATGGAAAAGAATTCAGTTGCTTCTAGCTAATGCAGCACCCAAGCATGTTAATGATTGCAAAAAGCTGAAGCACCAATATCCTGGTCCTAATTCTTACGTGAAAATGACCTGACTTTAAAACCCATGACTGCTATTCAACTTAATCATTATTGCCGTCTCTTTCCCTTTCAGTCCAAATATCATCAATGCCCAATTTGCAACTCGCAACTTTACGAGATTTTGAATCTGAACCTACAGAATTACCATTGCAGCTCAACCCCATTTCAATCCCACCCCATCAATTTACAACCTAAAATAAGGGCCGAATACTCTATGGTTTCATTATTTAATTAAGATAGATCCATATGTTTTTGTCTTTTATTTTTCATTCTCATTTCCAGCTTCATTTTGGTATCATACCAACTATCATCCTGCACTTTTTGTCCCATTCATTACCATATTTTATTATCAACTAATTTGAAGGCTTTATAGCAAATAAACTTACGTTCATTTTCTTTTTATGCTTGACTTGACTTCCCTCCAAATAGAACCAATTCAGGTTCTGGCCAACCACTTGTTACCAATTTGTGCACCACAAATCATGCTAACCCCAAAAATATGAAATAGATAAATTATATGTCTAACGAAGATTCACAAGAAGGAAAATAGAGGCATGACTATTCCAATGATAACAGAAAGAAATAAACCATGCAGAAAAGGAGACCAACCTATTCTGGCTGCCTTCCAGAAGAAACCACGGAACCTGTCAAATAAGCATATCATACCACATTAGCTCCCATTCTCATCATGTCCTTCAGATGAACTGTGGGGCCTAAGTAACACCTATAAATGCTATAAATAGGAACAATAAAAAAACCAATTTTGATACCAAAAGAAAAAAGACAAAAATGACAGAGATTAACTGGATTCACGCAATTTGAATTAATCTAATGTCTTCAGTGAGAAAGAAAGCAAGAAGTTTAAGTTCTCTAAGGAGAACCAGAAGAGGACGAAAAAACAAACACTTCCTGTTAAGATTAAGAGCTATACTTATAGTTTTCAGTAATAAAGTTGATAATAACATCATTGTGACCAAAGCTGCCACCCAAAACTTCAATTCAACATGCAACATTGCAACAAAATAAAGACATAAGTAAAGATTTTAACTAGGGTTAATGATGAAAAGAAGTAAATTTGATTGCTCAACCAGGGAAGATAAAGATCTGAATAGCCTAGCAGGATTTCCTTTTTCCTATACAATAGGGGAAATGTAGCTCTTGGTCAACCGGCCCAAAATCCCCCATCTTAAAAATCTCAGTTCAAAGGTAGTAATTCCAAGTTCCAAAGCTATAACAGCAACACAAACATTGTGAAACTAACTATCAGAAGACTTGGAAAATATGCAACCATTATGCAAAAGCACCCAACCTAGCATTCATTTCGAATAAAAAAAGTTCAGTGCAAATAGAGTAATGAGAAGTGTTTACTATTTGTTCATACAAAGCATACACCAAAAAGGAAAGGGGGAGCATACCCAGTTCTCTGTTCAAGGATTGCTGGAAATTGCATCTTCAAGTAAGTGCAGGTGCAGATTCCCAATAGCACTACCGTTAGGAATGAATGGAAATTGAAGAGTGCCGACTGAAATTTTATTCAAAATAATACGCACATCAAATACGTTAAAATTTCTACTGATTCGGAATTAAAATAACAAAGAAAGCAATTTTTCAAAATTTGGAATAGTAGAAAGTTAGGTTTTTACCATGTTTCGGGATCCTTATCCTTGGATTGATTGATTTCCTGCTTCAGATGCCCTGTAGAAAAAGAACTCGGCTTTGGGCCTGAATCAAAATCCAATTTTTTTTTTTTATTGAGAGAGACTAGACGTTTGGTTTTTCGGCTTATCAGGATCCGAATTGCCAAGTAGTGTTAATCGATCGCCCGAGAGAAGGGAAAGTTAGAGAGAGCGGGGTTTTCCTTTCTTTTCTTTCTTTTTTTTTTTTTTTCTTTTTGGGAGACTAATTGGGATTTGGCGCAGGGACTGATAATAATAATAATAATAATAATAACAAAAGCAATAATTACTTCAGCCAGCAAATCATGCGGCGCCACGTCAAAGAAATTAATCACAATAAAACTTTAATTAGCTAACATAAATTTTGAAATCTTATACTCACTATGGTTTCAATTTTATTTTAAAATCAAAGTTGATCATTTCCAATGAGACACACCATTTAATAGTTGAAACTAAACCTTTTTTTTTTCATTTATAGTTTGATTGTTTAATTTATATTTTCTATTTATAATTTTTTAAATAAAGGAAAAAAATGTTAAGTTCAAATATTAGAATGAAGATATGTTATTTTCGATGTTATGGTTTGCATATATATGTAAATTAAAAAATTTTCTATTTAGAGTTGCCAAAACTTGAGTCCCTAATGCATTAATAATTAAAATAATTGAGGCTTGAGAAGCAAGATGAAAGGGTTTGTATTGCTGTTAAGTGAGTAAGCATGTTGGAATGAGATCTTTATCCTGTACTAACCACTAGCTAGTTAGCTGATCCGGTTGATATATCATACTTTTGAGTTAAAAATTAGTAATTTTAATGCGAATTTTGGTAATAAGCAAGTAATTAAGAATATATTGGAAACCAATAAGGCCTTCATATGGTCGAGCCAGCTTAATCAAGGTCTTTACTTGCTGTATCGGATTATTTTAATGTAAAATGCATTAGCAATTTAGCGGTGCCATTAAATCGGCTGGAAATACACGGCCTTGGCCTTGAATTGCATGGAAAATGAAAAGAAATTTTATTACAATCACATATCCCAAGATAAAATGGGACAGAGAAATTTAAATTACAAAAATGTAGCTATCTCAATAGTCGCCATGAAAGGACACATACGGTCTCCAATAAGCTTCAAGAAACGGTTGAATTTTCAGGAAAATTTTGGGCCTAATTCCAAAGACTTTAGGGAAATGAATAGTTAATGATCTTGACAACCTTGCAAAATTTTACCTTAACGGGAAAAAATCAGTACAACTTGAAACTTCCTACACGATTGACCACGTTCTTTCACTGACAAAGCAATCATCTGATCTCTTCTTCTTAATCATGTTCCAATTCTTTCAAGATTTTCGGAAACTGTTTTCATCCTTGGTCGGACCTCAGGGTCTCCTTCGGTGCATGCAAGAGCTATGTGAAAAACTGCCAGGACTTCCTTCTTGGCATGCACTTCTTGTAGCAACAAGGGATCTACCATGTCTGACAATGGGTTTTCTTCTTCAAACCCTTTCCTCACCCACCTTACCAGGTCTGGGATTTCGGTGGAAGTTGATGCGGTTGGTGATAGCTCCGGAGACTTGCCAGTGAGCAGTTCAAGCAAGACTACACCAAATGAATAGACATCCCACTTTTGGGTCGGCCGGTTGCCGGGAACCCGAGCCTCCAGAGCTCGATAATTGTTGGTCCGTTCGGTTTGGATTGATTTGTAAGGGAGTCCCCCAATAAAACCACCTGAGGAAGAGGAATTGTTTCCCGTGATGTTAATCAGTCTGTTGAGGCCAAAATCAGAAATGTAAGGTTGGAATTCGTTGTCAACGAGAATGTTGGACGGTTTGATGTCTCCATGCACAAATTTCCTTGGACTGCATTCATGAAGATAGGCCAAGCCACGAGCTGCACCTTTTGCGATTTTGAGTCTTGTTGACCATGACAGGCTTGGTGATGATTGACCATTTCTGCCTGTAAATTAAAGCAATTTCATTAGCTACGAACTACTACATAATTTAATTATGAGGTAATGTGCTTGGAAATGATGAACATGGAGAGCAGAGCATTCACTCAATGAGATTCTAAAGGCGTTGGGTGTTACCAATTGTGCAAGATCGCCATTTGAATCCATTTTTTATAATTAAATGAATCCACACTCTTGCATGTTCTAGGGGTTACTCCCCTCACCTAAAAAAAGTAATAAATAATGGATTTGCCAATAAAATTACTAGAACCAAGTGGCAAATGCATCAAAGAGTTCATACGAACTCTGCATTTAATTTCAGCAGTCAGCAAATGGATGTGTTCAAATCTTTCAAGCTAAACAGATTGGGTGCCTAAAATAATACTAGTAAATCAACTCTTCACAATCTTCCACTTTAGTAGTCAAACACTCGATGCATTATATGTGAGAAAGGACTGGAGACAAGAGTGCAGTAACAAGTAGACCAACAGGTCCCAGCAGGGTGATTTTTACAGAACAAATCGGTGGACCTTCATATGGAAGAAACCCAAAGTAACTTTTTGTTTGAGATAAAAGAAAGAATCAAGGAGAAAATGAACTCGAAAATGGAATCAAAAGCAAACTTTTTCTTTGCCAAAAGTCTGCCTATGTTTAAAGTCAAGAAGAAAGAAAACTATAGAGGTAGATACCAAGACCAAAGCCACTTTAATTAAAGTATGAATGTAAAATTTTAAATTGTTAGCATTGAAACAAAAATTGTCATTGATCTATAAAGATTGATACCATTAAACGTTCTAAGTCAAAGCTTACTTGAGATTAGTATAGTTTAAAAAGTTACAAGCTAAAGCATGCAAGGGAAGGCTGCAGCATATATTTTGAGCAAAATCCAAATCTAAACTAAGATACGCTAAGTCGTCGTCATCAGCATCATCATCATCTTCAGTCGTGACCCATCACCCTGTGATTGAAATCTTGAAATGCTCAAAGCCAAAATTATTTCCTCTCCATTGCCTGTCAATGCTCTTTTCCTCTTTTTCTTTTATAGGATGCCCTCATGGCCAATGGTGAGGGACCTACCATTCGGTGGTACTCATTTAAAAGCAACAGAACAAACCTACTACAAACCCCTCTTCACCCCACAACAATTAACAATATTTTCTCTTTCAGGCAAATAGAACAGCAGCATACACATTTAAAAAAAAAAGAAATTCAAGAGTTATTTAACGCTAAATTCATACTGAATCATAAATTTAGGATCAAAATTATCATCCTCTTTCGGTATTTCTTCTGTTTCTTTTTGGTATGAGCAACAAAAACAACTACAGGACAGTGAAGACCTAACAAAAGTTTCGGCACTTCCTGAGTAGAATTATAACGGAAAGGGACTGCACTGCAGGCCTAATGAGTCCCCGTGGGTGTGTAATTGCAGTCAATAACGGGTCCGCCACTTGGACCACTAATTTCTAGATCATCATAAAGCATGACAACGTCAGATTATTGCCATTTATGCCTCTAAAACCACTACTTACGGCAAAGTATGTTTCCTTTACAAATAAAGACACGTTTAAAAGAAGAAAACATTGTAAAACTAATGTGAGGAATGAACAGGTTGAACCTTCAACATCAGATCCGCACAAAAGTTATCAGGAACAGCAACTTGGATGAACTAATAATAAAAAGCAGTGCAATTTTCTACTATCTTCTCATTTCTTGTTATCTTCATTTTTTGCTTCTAATATAGTATTGTAATTTGAAATCTTATGTGACTAAACTAAACTGACTACTGATCGTGAGCGTGATGTGATGCTTGCTAGAATAATCCAAGCAGGAACCGGTAAAGTTGCTTCCGAAAGGAGGAAAAGAAACCAGAAGAAAAAACAGGAGAACAGAAACTAACCTCTCATGGCATTAGCCAAATTGCCATTGGAGATAAAATCACTAATGAGAAGCTTCTCATCAGGCGCCCAATAGTAAGCTCTCAACTTCACAACGTTGGGATGCTTAACCTTTCCGATAGCTTGCACTTCTGCTGCAAACTCCTTATACCTTTGCTCTCCACCCTCACCCAGCCGCCGTACAGCCACCGGCACCCCATTCCCAAGCACCACTTTGTACACTATCCCAAGCCCGCTCTTTCCCAACACATAAGCTGACGCTCTAAGCAGCTCGTCCAGTTCAAAGCTGAACCCTTTGTCGATGGCAACCAATTCTCCTTCTCCTTTCCCTGATCTCTCCCTCTTTTCCTGGTCTTCGAATTCGGAGTCTTCGCTTCGAAACCCGTTGATGCAGGCACAGGAACAGAGAGAACTGAGCTTCCCTTTGTCGTTATGACCGAACTTGCCTTTACCGGTGCAGCTACAGCCATTTGAAGAATCTTTCTTCTTCCAATAAATGTAAACTATAATCAATCCAATCAAAGCCACACCAGCGGCATCAGCCGCTGAGATTAATATAATTAATCCAGGACTGAGCCCTTTTTTCTGGCTTTCACCAGAATTCGGACCCGAATTTTGACTGCCTGAAGGACTTATGTTGGAATTTTTACAGGATTTTTGAAGAGGGAACCCACATAAAAGGGGATTGTTTAGAAATGCTGTTGGTCCTTGATTAGCAAACGAACCGGTTTCAGGTATTTCCCCACTTAAATTGTTATTTCTAAGATCAAAACTGACAGTAACCGGTAAGTCACCTAAACTTTTAGGGAGCTTACCAGACAAGTGATTGTAAGACAGATTGAGAGTCCCCGACAATGACTTTAACTCTCCGATGTTACTAGGAATCGATCCGTCGAATTCATTGGACGAAAGATCGAGTTGAAACAAGTTGTCCAATTCCGGCCAAATTCCATCAGGAATTTCACCAGAAAATTTGTTTTGAGCAAGAATCAGCCTCTGTAACTGCTTGCAATTCTTAAGCTTCTCGGGCAGAGAACCCGACAGCGAATTGTTGGAAAGATCGAGGTTTTGTAACCTTGGAAGATCGCAGATCGAGGGAGGTAGAGAACCGGAAAGGTTATTACCGTATAAAAACAAGCTATGAAGTGAGGTGGCATTGAACAGTTGCTCTGGTATGGAACCGTAAAAGTTGTTGTTGTGAAGATTTAACCTTCGAAGATAGATTAACGTCCCAAGCTCCGACGGAATATACCCCCGGAGATTCTTCCCGGAAACTGCGATCCCGACTACACGCGGGTCAGGGTACCCTGTTATGTTCATGCAGGAAATGCCGGACCAACGACACGGCGTCGTATCATTCTCGTTCCAGTCTGCAAAAACTGACTGGGCCGCAGGTTGGTCTACGGCCGATTTCAAAGACAGAAGAGAAAGGCCGTCAGGGGAAAGAGAAAGAACGGGTTTTGAGTTCCGGAAGAGGAAGAAGAAGAAGAAGAGTAGAAAGAGAGCCAGCTTCTTCATGACGGAATAAAAGGGTGTTTCTTTCCCCTGAGAATTAAAAATGTGGGTTTTAAAGAGAGGAGGGAACTGAGGGAACTGGCAAGAGCTGAGAAATGAGAAAGGCTTCGTTTCTTTAATGTTTTCTTTTTGTTTTCCCTCGCGGTGAAAAGCAAGGAGGAGGGTGGTTGGGCAGGGAGGAGGTATTTATGAGAAACAGACTTGAGAAAGACGAGATTTTGATTGCGGTGGGACCCAACCTCCCGCCAAAAGCAGAGATAGATAGACAGTGGAGCTGAGTGAACGAGTTGTAGTAGAAGAAAAGCAAGTTTAAGTGAGGGAATGGAAATGCAAGAGAAAGAAGAAATCTGGATTTTTGATGCTGATTGTTTATGTGTCTTATTGATTTTCTAGGCTCTTTTGTGTGTGTAGTTTGGAAACTCTTAAAAACTTTTCCCTTCGTTTTGGAGCTGAGGAAATTGTTTAAACTTGTTTTGTTCGACATTTATGGACCACAAGCTATCCAATTGGGTAAATGAAAAATGAAATTTTACCATAAATTAGTTCCCACTATAAAAATAATACTCGGATTTAGTGGTTCACAGAGCATCATAATTAGGATTGCAGTTTTCTTGACTTGGCAGGTGAATTTATCATGTTAACTTCTATTTGCCTCAAATGGGAATGGAAAAAAAAACCATGCATTTATGTTGACAAATTAGTATGCTTAATAATTATGCAAGAAATGAACCACGATCAACCCTAGCTAAGCAGTAATAGTTTGTTCACAGTTTGCTTGGGATTAGCAATTAATAGTGCTAAACTATTGTTTAACACCCCTAAATTGGATTTAACTGTAGGCGTAGAAAGTTACACCTCAAATTTAATCTTGTTTAACAGGCTAGATTAAGGTCAGGGGCGAGGTCAAATGAGAAGGCCAACCCAAGAAACAAATTTTGTAAGGGGACCTACAGGGCAGAACCAGCACTGTACAGAAATTGCCCTTAAGTCACACACACATAACCTATCACCAACTTAAAGGATGTGGTTGACCTCTCAGATCAACAAGGAAGCCTGCAACTACCAATTTGTTAATACCAAGTGTCTTTGATATACGGTAAAAAAAAAAAAACAAAGGGGGAGAGAACAAAACAAGAGAAAAAATAGGTGATTAGGTCGTTAAGATTCATCATCGTTTGACAATATATCTACTTGATGGAAAAGACAAAGGTTTTGTCAGCTGGTCTTGCTTCTTTTCACATTTTTCTCCGGAGGCAAGCAAGTTAATAACTATAGAATGTCAAGTATTTAATGAGAAAGACAGTATAAAGTATAAACCATTCATGCAAAAGCCTTTTAACTTGAATGTTGCTTGTACTTTTTGTTATCATTAATCGTCTGTTGGTTTGATTCCCAAAGGACGAAATCGTCAGGCTAAGGAATGTAGGAGGTAGGCAAGAATTTTGTCTATTAAAAGCCCCATCTCTTTCGCGTAACAAACGCCACTTAATCACACTCGATTTGAACATAATTATATATCATTTTCTTATTGACAGACTGCTCTAAATTCTTATTCTCCAGCAAGGACAGAGATATTGAACTCTTGCCTTCATTATTTTATTTTATTTTGCTTTTTTGGTTTAAGGATTCAAAGTTTCCAACTAATTGTCTTGCCTTGTTTAGTGGAAAATGGGGTGATGATTATATCTCACTTTCAATCATGAAAAACATGCTTAGAAGCTAACAAAAGGATGAGAGAGGGAGAGAGAGGAAGGGTAGGTTTAATCGAAGCTGGCATTATTGTTTGGGTATTTATGTTTCCCTCTGTTTTGTTCCATTCCATAGACCATTAAACAATGATATCCTTATGTTCTATTAGCTCTCCATACTTACGTAAGTAGTACAACATCTATTAAAAGGACAAAACAGTAACTCATAATCCAATCAGAATTTCCCTATAATGTATACCATCATATCCTACTCTGAATAGGAAATAATAACAATGTGAAATTACCAAAAGTTGTCTTTCCTACGTAGAAATGAGGAGGGGCGGAAGGGAAAAAGTAGTCCTTGCTTAGATCCAAAGGGATGTAGGTATGGATTGGATCTTTTTTATTGTTTTTCCTCATCAGCTTTGGTTATTCAACTTTTCACATGAGCACATGGGCCCATTTACCGCAAATATCAATTTCCTTTATTTTTTTTTCTTTTTGTCCTTTACGAAGCTGTCCAAATGGATTGTTGATTAAACTACCGATCAGAAATGTTGAATCGACCACCTGAAAGGAAGGCCATGATGGTCGGTTTTTCCAACATGCACAAAATATCAACTCCCAAGTGGGCTATTTAATAGGGGATCAACCGCCAGAGTCCACCTTCATCATCATAGCGAGCCTCCGCATGGTCAGCGATTTAGGTCAGTGCCTACCAAGCCGAAGAAATGGTACTTCACATGACACTTCCTTCTTGAGTGTTTTTCGAGATTTTGCAGTAAATCAAACCCAAGTGGAAACCGCACTTGCCCATTTCCCGGCCAAATGACTTGTCTAATCAGGTTGTTATAGTAAAATTGGTCGTTAACAAAATCACTAACCCTAGATGAACACATTATAATTCAAATGTTGGGGCAGCTAAAAGTAGAGATTCATTTAAATTTTTCAACAACAATGACCAAATGATCAAGATATCTGATTTTGACATGATGGGGCAACCGCAATAAGAAGGATCCTTATAACAAGAACTTGCACCCAGGTCCATCAGTGAATTATCTAAAGGCTAAATTTCAAGTACATATAGGAAACTATCCCATTGAGCAGTCATCGAATGCAAACACCTTCAACTGAGTCCAGGCTGAGTACAAGCCACTTAGGCCCCAGCTACTTCAACCATTTCCTGCTCTACCGTGCTTGGCATCACCGGATAGTATTTGTAGTGAAGCTCTCCAACATCATCACCAGATAGCTTCTTCCAGCCATTTGGTCCCACGTGGTAAACTGATTCAAAAGTAAGCTCATTAAATGTGGGTACAGGCACAAATAAAACCAAATAAGGTGAGAGATGTTTTTTTTTTTTAATTCTGAGACTTGAGAAAGATAGGAAAGAATACCGCTGGCAACACCACCACTGGCACCATCTCGGAATGTGGCATGATAAATAGCTCTTCTTGCCAACTCTGCAGCTTCTTCAACTGGCATATCATACCGGTACCTAGCACCAATGTCACGCAAAAATAGAAATTAATGACTATGAATACATAAAACTGGGTATAGTGTAAGACAAAACTAAAATGTCAAGCATACTCTAATAAAAAGGGCACAAAACAAGAGAAAATCTTTTGATTTATTTGAAGGGAGCAAAGCAAGCTGAAGTCCTAACACACAGTTCAAAGAATAACGAGATGACCACTGATCTTTTATTGACAAAGGCAATCAAACAGATTCAATTGGAAAGAGTTAAAATATGGTCAAATTTGATTAGGCAGCAGTTATGCATGTTATCAAACAGCAGACAACCAATGTTTTCAACAGGAGCAATTGCAAGTAACTAGAGCCAGCACACATTACAAAGCTTTTAATAGGTTTCTTCTACATGGTCCTTGTCCATTAGCTTGTCTGTTTCTCAATGTATTAAATGAACTTACAAGGAGATGACGATGCCTTTGCTGTAATATTTGCATTTCTATGAATGGAACAATGGCTATGAAAGAACAAGGAGAAAAATGCATACCCATTATCCAGCACACCATAGGCATATGGTGAACCAGATCCAACAGAGAAACGCATGCCCTTTAACCTCCCCCCTTCACTGTCCACATAGTATAGTCCAGGACCCTACAATCCACATTAGGCAGCAAGTTAAACATGCAAGAATATTCATAGAATGCAAAGGGCCAGAAAGGGAAAGGGAAGGAAGGAAAAAAGTGTAACATTTAATTTCAAATACCGTTTCATCCCATCCAGCAATCATGGTTCCAACTGACAGTCCCATTCCTCGATAAGAATAGAGAATGTTTGCCAACAATTTTGATGCCCCTGTAACAGAAATTCTACGCTTGTTTGCCAATTCATGTAGCCGGCACTAGATAATGGAAAATGAGTATCTGTTAGCACTACATATATGTTAAGGGAAATGAGGAAAAAACAATCATGGGGCCTAAAGGCATTCTAAATTAAATGAAAACTGGGAAGATTGCATAATGATGTCATATTGACACCAAAGGCACAGACAGGAATAATTCCTGCGTGGTCCACTTTATTTTGATCTTTTATTCTCATAGCTAGGCAATTAGGCAAATCAAATACATTAAATTTAACCACCTATGAAATCAGGAAATATGCCTGGACTCATTTTTGCAAACTTCCTCCTTAAAAGTTTGTTTTAGGAACTAGGTTTTATGTTCACTTAGACTACGAGTGCACAAGTGCATACACAAGCAGTCATAGCCACAATCATTCTTATAACTTTGCTTAGTTAAAAAAGTTAACCTCTGCGTGCAAGTCATGTTTCACATTGGATGTTTAACGACTTAGCTGTTACTAGGATCTACGCTAAATCTTAAATCATTTCATCTGCTTCTTTTGTTCTCATATACATGTGATAGGAAAAGCAGGACATCTGCAGTTCAGCTTTAGAGCCAATGAAAAAATAATGTGAAACTTTTGAGATAGTAGCATACTCTTACTTTAAATATTGCATAAACAATGTCTTAGAAAAACTGAAAAACATGAGTATCAATGAAAATTAAAGGAAAGAATGCCAATATGACCCATTTTGCATAAAAGATAACGTTAGACTAATGTTTCTCAAGAAAACCTTACTGTAAGGCAATATGCAAAATATACAGTATATAACAAACAATACAAAAATCTAACAGACACAATATCCAGATTGTAGCCACTCAAAAGAGAATTTACGCCAATTGGCAAGAGGGAAAATTTTTATTTAATTACCTTAATGCCTAAATTTCTGTGCCAAAACTGGCAGTCAGCAGCTCCACCAGCCATTGTGCCAAGCATGTAAGGGTTGATTTCAATAATTTTCTTCACTGACTGTGATGCTGCCAAAATTTAGGAGAAGGAATGGCAATCATGGTTTTGTCATTACTATCTGAAAACAACAAATGTAACAGAACAATGCAAAACTTCTAGAAATTTTTTTATTTCAAGGTTTAATCTATAATGACATAAATAAATTATTCCTCAAAGAAAGAAACTTATGAACAAAAAACATTCACCACGCAATTCAATTCAATAACTCATGCACAACAGGCACAGCAAAAAAAAAAAATTAAAAAAAAACATACAGATATAGCCTCCCATGCTAGCTCTAGAATCAGCAGCAACCATGACGCCTTCCTTAAAGATGAAGGCAAGCGTGGTGGTGCCCTTAGCAGGTTTCACCATCTGAATAGCTTCCTTCTGAAACCCATCAAACTGCAATATACCAAGCAAACATGAAATAAGCCGTAAAGCTCCCCCTTTCTCTCAGAAATATATAAATTATCTGAAAGCTGTAACTCACATCAGTAGTATTTGGGAGCTCGAATGACGGAGCAGCCGAGAACCCATCAGCAAGCTCATTAGAAGCAGCCCAGACAGGCGCAGCCGATTCTAAACCGCTGGTGTCAAGCTTCATGGTCGGTTTTTAAAAAAATCTACACAACAGCTCATGAGATTGAATTATCGATGCGTTTTATATTAAGACGAAAAAATTAAAACGATAAACCCTAGGGTAGAAAACAATGATTGTCCTGAGAAAAAGATTAATACCAGAAGAAATAAAATTCGAGAAGAGTACCTTTTCTATCAGATTGCAGACGATCGTGAGACGGAAAAAGAGAGAGAGAGATCAAGTGAGATGCAGCGAGAGAACTACAATGAGGAAAAGGAGTTGTGTTTCTTTTATAAATAACAAAAAGAGGCAGTTTTCTTGTGCCACGGGAAAGCGAAAGTCTGCTTGCTTGGGTCGTCCTATCTGGGCCCAATATCTGATCCGAAACGGAGACTGAAGTTTTGGACTTTGTAAACCCATAGTCCAGAGTCCAGACCATCACCTACCAAGATCTCTGGGCCAAGACCAACTTGGGTTAAATGGGTTGTGCCTACCATTGGATAAAGGAGAAATTAAACTTTACTCTTGGAATAAAGAGATTATGTACCAATTACTGATAATCAATCTTTGTACACGAATTTGGGAGGATTGTTACATTTTTTTAAATCATTCACTTGAGTTGATTACACCACTCAAACGGTGGATTTAAATGGAATTCAACAAATGCAAAAAAAAAAAAAATGGATTAATAATGTTAAGATTGTAACATGTAAGACTAGTTTAAACTTGGGCCTGAAGTGAACCACCCTGGAACCATGAGTATTAATACGGTAAAAGAGGATCATTTTGTAAAGAAGCCGAAAGTAGTACAACTTCTCATGGAGAAAGAACATTTTTTTTAGGCAAGAGAAATAACCCTTCCAAGTATTTGTTTTTTTCATAATCCATATTTATATATATATTCTTTATTGGTCTCCAATATAAAGGAAATAATTTTTCTTCTTGTACCTGTGGAATAAGATGCAGATTGGTTGTTTGGATAAGTGTTCAATCTTCAGTTGGGTCTGGCTTGGGCTTTCAACAGCTTTGTCTTAAGGCCAGGTTTTGTATGTGATTTTACAAAAGTAAACAGCACTAACATATGCTGGTTATGGCGTTCGAATCCATGCGTACTTATGTACAGGAGATCTTAAGTCTCTCCCCTTAACCTCTCGGGCAAACCAGCTCGACAACAGGAATTTTTAGATTGAACTATTAGGATTCCATCAGGGCTGGTCGGTTGGATCAGCCGACATGGTGTAATGTTAGGCTCCAGCCCAACTCCATTAAAAATCCCGAGGCTTTAGCTGGCCTTGGCTTCGGTCAAATTTTATGCTTTTTGCTCGGACTCAACTTGAAATATAATGGAGTTACTAAATTAGATTTAATAAGACTTAATTATTATTTATTAATATAAAACATTAAAATTTGAATTTGAAATAAAATTTTAAAGTATGTAAAATATATATATTTATTTTATATATAATATTAAAAAATAAAAAATCAATTTGATAAATCTCGTGGTAATTTAAAGTACAAACTCAACTTCATTCATTACTCAAGTAACTTGAGTTTGAGCTCAATTCATCAATGAACAAGTCAAATTCAAGTATTCATTGAGTCTAACTCAAATAACTAATAAGTAATTTAACTCATTTACATCTCTAGACTGTTATCTAAAATTATTTTCTAAATTTATAAATCAACGAAAGACTCTAATCACAGCTAAATAAACGTCGATCCAGCAGCTGGCCTAAAAAAGCTAAATTTCATTACATTTTTACTTTATAGTTAGTATTTTTAAGCTAATTTCTAAACTAAAGCAAAACCAAACAATCCAAATATCACAGCTTTAGCTACCTTAATATTTTTTTAATTTATCTTTTATTGTTCTTTTTGGGCACAAGATGCTTTATTGTTATAAAGGCAAATTGACTTTGAGTCGGTTTGACATCATGAATTGAACTTTATTTGATTATTATCATTGAGTTTAATTGCAAACACAATATCAAACTAGTATAAAAAGTTACAATTAAAATTATTTTGATTACCATAAATTTCATTTCAATTATAAAAACAGATAGAAACTTGCTATTGTCAATCAATAACAATTTTCAATGACAATTGTCAATCAACTAGGAGTGGTGTAAATTTCTTTTGAATTTAAAGTTTTTGGTTATTTAGTTACCATATATGTTGAATTTTATCTCGAAAAGTCTTTCGGTTATGATCACAGTTTTGGGGATAAAAGTTGTCTTTGGATTATGATTCAATGCGTTACTTCAATGAGTAGCTAGGCCAAGTAAAATCAATCCCTCTTGCTCCCATGGAAAGAGTGTGAACGTTGGAAAAAAGAAAAACAAGATATAAAGATCAAATCAACTAGGAGTGGTGTATTTGTTTTTGGTCCAACTACGAAGTAGCCTTTACAATGAGGGCAGCTCCAGAAACAACACCTTTGAAGCCTTAGCCATCCAAATCAAGAGCAATGGCCGTTTTAAATGTACAAGTAGTTTTCATGCAGAGAACGTGGACACAACCCACACTTTGAGAATCACATGCAACGGAGGACTCCACAGTACCACCATTATTATTGCCTACGCGGTAAACAACTATATATCCGCAACCCTACCCAACACAGCTTGTTTCCAGCTGCTTCTTCCTCTACGTACCCTTATAATCATACCCAACTTTATTTATATTAATTTGTTATTAATATGGCTGGGACATTTTTAATCCAAAAGATTTTACCGTCGGTAGTTAATCATGAGAAAAACCCAACGGCAACTTGTTCCACAAATAAAGTAATTAAGACCACCCCCCCGGCGGTCAACGCAGAATGTTGCGGGGACCAGATTAGCTGATCAGGTCCCACCCAATCATTCTTCTGCAACAGAAGTTTAGTTTTCCTTGGCTGTGTCATTTGCATCGTGGATTACTTGATCAGTACCATTCTTTTTGAATATGGTGGGGGGTTTTCAAATTCTTGGAGCCGACCAAAACGAATTGTAATGATCGTCTTTGTAAGTGACATTATAAGGTTGTAAAATTAACAAGTGTGTTGCCTATTTTAACTCTTGGGGTAAACCAAAATAAAAAAACAAAACAAAACATTGCCTTTTCCCCAAAAGGTACATATGGATCGATGATCATAATTAAATACTTAACTGGACGGATCATTTTCTTGTAGGATTCACATGATTTAATAGCGAGAAAGAGAAAGGAGGGGACGAGAAGGAAAACTTTCCGGATCCAGCATGAGAATGATTATGACAACCATTGTAGAACAACACAGCTACAGCCGCAGATGCCGACATTCCCAAAAGTTTAAATTTATAGATCAAATATGTTTATCTACACATATGTTCCACTGGCCACAATTTTGTTGTCATCGACACGGGACTGAGCTGAGTTCTTAACGTGAATATGTGTGCGTGTCTGTTTTTTTCTTGATCAGATGCTTCATATGTTTATCAATGAATACATGAGAAAGGGAATTCTTATCAAGTTTTAATAATTATATCTATATGTTTTGAGGACCTTTCACATATACGCATGTTGTTCTTTGATGTGTTTAATCCAAGCTGTTTTTTAAGAATTTAATAGTAATGGAGCTTGGTTTAATATTTAATTAATACCGAAATCTAATAGAAACAACTAAACCAGTTTAGTTCATTAAACAATATATTTTTGTTTATTAAAATCTTTTAAATATAATCTAGAAATAAAATTATGATTTCATTGGTTTGTTGTTAGTAGGAGGATAACAGTTTTATGCCAAATGCATGCATAAAACATTAATTTGAAAATGTTATATAATTCCTTTTAAAGATGACGTTGTTGTTCAATTTGTGTCAAAACTCAAAAGATTCTCTCATTTTTTTTCTTCTTCTAGGACCCCCACATTAACTCTTCAATTATATTCTAGTATCAATTTCACTTTAATTATGCCTATTCTAGTTCAGCTGCTACCTCAAGTTTATGACAGCATAGGTGAAACGACTTGATTTATACACATGATAAGTAACACCGACCTAAATGATTCATCCATTCCATGCTTTAGAACCTCAAATTCACCTCCCAGAATTAGCAAAAGCAACCGAACTATATCATGACAAACACAATAATTTGGAAATGGGTTTGTTTCCCTATTAGTCATTCCAATCTAACTATTGAAAAAAAGACCTTTTGGAACCCTTGCAGAGCAGGTTGCCTTTTACAATGTCAGTTTAAAGTTCAAATTCCCTTCAATTTAAATCCTTTGTTGTCTATTTCTTGGACCCAAAGGACTGTTAGTTTCCATGCTCAAGAAAAGAAAAAAAAGAGAGACCTATTTCAAAATTTTCAAATTGAAATGATAGGTATTAGTACAAAGCGCTGTTGATGCTTAATTTTCCTACAAATATGTTGATGTTAACATGTAACGAAGTACTTAATAGTTGATGATAACAATGGGATTAACAATTATGGGTCAAAAGCTGAGAGATCACATCACGTCTCTCCCTATATTATGGGGTTGGTAAATATGGAATTATGGAGCCGCACGTTAAGATGTCTATATTTCTCTATAAAAGATAATCAATTAAATCTGACTTTTGACCCCAAAGACGTGACACCTTTGTTTCTCGTGCTTCCTTCCACTCAGACCATGGTTTCAGCTTTCGGTCAAGATATACGGGCTTCGCCCCCACTATTTTCTGATCTTCTGGATCCTTTGAACCTCACAACTGCCCTTGTACCTAGCCTCATTTTCGGGAATTACTGATTGGTCCTCATATTTTGATGCTTTACAAGCTTTTTTTTTTTTAAGTGGTTTTGTTTGATATAATTAATTATACAATTCCAATATCTCCTTTAATTTCTACTTTTTATGTAATGATTTCTTTATCATTGTATCTTTATTTTTGAGTAGAACAATACGTGCATTTAATTTTTTTGTTTAAGAGAATAACATTCATTAATATTTACAATTTCTTTTGTTGTCTTATTATATTATTATCTTTGGCTTAGAACCTTTATAGCTAGGAGTTTAATCCATATGACCACCCATTGGAAGTTAAAAGGGAACCCAATTAAAGAAAAGGCTAGGGGAAAGAGAAAGAGTCGAGGGAGGACATAGATTTAAAAAGTGGATAGTGTTTTGTTTTGCCGTTTGACATATACTAGAGGCTGATGAGGAAGTGGAGGTCTCAAAGTTTTGAGAAACATTATTTAATGCCCCACGTTAAGAAAAACAAACGAAAAAAGTGAACAGCATTCACGATAATGGGGGTGATTGTATGCTCCATTTGCTTTGCAAATTGCCACAATA